CCCACTACTCGAATGGAACAATGGAGAGAGGTGGTTGTATGCCCTCACTCTGTCTGAGGTGTTTGTATATAGGGCTTTTAGGATGTTAATAAACTTCTCAGGCACACCCTTCTTCAATAGACAATCCCAGAGAACAGTCCTATCCAACGAATCGAAGGCAGCCCTGATGTCAAGAAACACTACGATTGTTGGCCTTTGATAAGTATGGCGATGTTCTAACATTTGGTGGAGGGTGAAGATATGATCAATACATCCTCGACCAGAACGAAACCCAGCCTGCTCCTCGCGAGTCAATCTTTCTCGGGTTTTGAACAACCTACGAAGTATGATGGAAGCCAATAGCTTGGACGCAATCGGATGTAGACTTATCCCCCGATAGTTGTTGCAGGAACGACGTGAACCCTTTTTAAAGATAGGGACGACTATTGACTCATTCCATGACGTTGGTACACTCTCTAGTTCCCAAACCAGCTGCCCTTCCTCGTTTCAGATTAACTATAGCCTTTTGAACTTCTGCTAGAGTTGGGGGACCTACTTCAATGTTCCATCCACACTGTCTGGGAATGGAGGGTAGTTGTAGAGTAGCTGAAGACCAGCTGAACTATTTTCTGAAATGTTCCGCCCATCGTTCTAAACGTCTGGACTGAGAGCAGATGAGGGTGTCGTTTTTTTCCGAAATAGTCTGACTTACACTTGATTTATTAATTATAGTTTCTTTTATTAGTCTGTAGAGCTGTCTTGTGTTTCCTATAGCCGCCGCCTTTTCCATCTCTTTTGTTTTCGTTGCCCACCACCGCTCACAGTCGCTCCTTAGACTTTTGCTTAACCTAGACCTGATTTGTTTTCGCTCTTCATCATGTTCAGAACCTGATGGGATGAGTTTACGAGAATCCATCAGTGCAATAGAAGTAGAGGAAATCCATTGCTTCTTTGTAACCCTGTGGTTTAAACCACTGATAGATGTCACTGCTGTTTGTATAGCTTTCCAAGCAACATCTGGGTCAGCCTCGTTTTCAGAACTATCTAATTGTGACCTCAGTTGTTCCTGGAACCTACTTTTGGTTCTCTCGCTACTCAATTCAGTTCTAATGGGTCTTTTTACTGAGGCTTTTTTGCGTCCATTGAGGCGCAAGCAGATGCGTGCCCGTATCAGGGCGTGGTCGGAGTCCAATCAGGTACTCCAGAATGAGCGACAATCTTCTACCGACTCTCTCCAACGATGACTGATGGCAATATGGTCTATTTGAGTCCATCGTTGGTCTGGTGCAGGGGGTCGCCATGTTAGACGATGTCTCTCCTTATGCCTAAAATTTGTGTTTGTTAAAAATAAACGATTGTCTGAGCACAGTTGCAGCAGACGATCACCATTATCTGTTCGTTGTGGCGGAATACTAAAATACCCACCCAAATGCCTTTCTGTTTGGTCTAAACTACCTATCTGGGCATTAAAGTCACCTGCTACGAGTACTATGTCCGAACGTTTAGCTTTCTGAAGAAGTTCAGATAGCTTTCTGTAAAATTCATCTTTCACTTCATCTGAGCTGCAGTCGGTGGGAGCGTAGGCAGAAACGACGAAAAGGCAACGACGTGTGTCCCTATCCTTCCGAGTTCTTACGGAGCTGTTTAGCCGAACAGCACATAGACGACTGTTGACGGGGATCCACTCTAACAGTGCTTGTTCGGCCCTCATGCTTAGTGCTATCCCTACTCCTACCAGTCCACGAGAGCTGGCCATCGGGTCACCAGATACACGGAGGGTGTATCTCGTTGGCTCTCCGTGTTGCCGAGGTGAGGTCAAGTGAATGACCACACTGGGATCCTGTATGCGTGTTTCAGAGACACAGCATACATCAATGGTACGAGATTCTAGGGTTCTAGCCAAGGAAGCCTGTTGACCGTTTTGACATAGGGTGCGTACGTTGAGTCAGTCAGTCAGCTACAACGTAGGACCAGGCACATATGTGCATCGGTCCAGGTTGCCATACCTCATTAGCACAGCAAGATGAACAGCGGATTCATAGGAGTGGTTAGGTCAAAGGTTGCAATAAGGATATAGTATAAGAAGAAAGAATTAGTTCGTAGACAGAAAGAATGAAGTGATTTTAATCTTTTAGTTTAAGGGAAGACAGGGAGTGTATACACCGACGCCATTGTGATCGATTCTGAGCCATGTCACCAAGAGTCTCCAACCATTGGTTACGATAGTCACGCGGACCCCAACCAAGTAGTCTGCATCTACCAACATGGCTCAGACTAGAAGTTAGTGACTTCAGGCACTGATGCCACGTTTTGGTTTGGCCGCCCCTAACTTTCTTCCAACCATCCCGTACCCCGGTTAGCATTGCACGTCGTGGTAATCAGTGTTCAGGCATACGTAATACGTGGCCCAACCATCTCAGTCGATGAAGATTCATAACCTCATCAACTGATTTACCATCATTCCCTAATACCCTTCGTCTAACCTCACTATTACTTACCCGGTGATCCCAGCAGATGCCAGCAATATTTCTAAGGCATCTGTGGTCAAATACTAGTAGCTTACGGGTGTCTTCTACTCTTAGTGGCAAACCTGAAAGACTGGATCCTGTGGGAAATATCCGTACATATTTTTATAATTATAAATAAAGTAAAATAATTCACTTCTTTACCTAAGACTTAGGTATGAGCCACACTCTAAATGTGGAATCTAGTGACTGAAGGTTGAAAGCTTTCACAAACAAGCCACTGCCCCGTGAGAAACGAGCTCCTGAAAGTTTAGTAAATGTTATCTGCTGACATTGTAACTGGATAAATTAGGGGCGAACTCACGCTGCTCATTAAAGACTGGTTGCTCTAGTTTCATGTCCACTTAACTGTCATGAACTACTTTCTTAGTTAATGCAAAATAGCAAACTCTGTGCTTTGGGATGTTATCAGGCATAACTTAGAATGAGTTTGATTTAGTATTTACTACTCGTATGTATCACATTCTGTTTTACTTCTTTACAACTTTGTCATTTCGTTTTGCGTAAAGCATTTAGAGCCATTCTTACTTAGTTTCCATGGTAATAAAGGGAGCTTAGTGGTTTAGGCGTTAGACTTCCAACCACCATTTATTTGAGGGCCCCTCATTCACTACAAACAGTTTAAATTTACAACGAATTATGTGATTAGAAATAAATGATTAATATACTTCGGTCACATAAAAATTTTAAAACGAGACAGTACGCAAAAGATTAAGACCTAAAAGTGATATTTCCAAGTTATTATTATTATTATTATTTGAACACATAAATATTGGTACAAGAGAGCGCCAATATGTATGCGCCACACAAAACAATGAGAATTCGAAGAGAAGTAGAAAGAAAGAAAAAAACAAACAAACTAAGGAACGCAAAAGAAAAAGAGAACAATGACGAAGAGATTGGAGTAAGGTAGTGTGGTAGTAACGACGGAACGAAAAGGTACAATCAGAAGAAATCTTTCAGGTAAAGGAGACACAACCACTTTTTATGAAGAAAGTAAAAGAAGGTTACAGCAGGATCGCCACTGGCTTCTATTCTGAGCCATATCTGATAACGTCTCTAGCCACTGTGTAGCACCATCTCTCAGACCCCAACCAGGGAGTCGTGAAGGACCAACACAAGCCAGTCCTTTGCAGCTTTCTTTCATGCCACGACACCATGTCATGCACTGACCACCTCTCCGCTTCTTCCAACCAGTCCCAGAGTCGGCAACTAATGCACGACGTGGAATTCTCTGGGACGACATTCGGAGAACATGTCCAAGCCACCGAAGTCGGTGTTTCAAAATGGTAACACCAATTGAGTTATCATCTCTGTGCCCGAACACACGATGCCGAACCTCTGCATTACTGACATGGTGTTGCCACTGAATGTCAGCAATCCTTCGGAGACAGCGATGATCGAACACAGAGAGTCGTCTAACGTCCTCAACTCGGAGAGACCAGGTTTCACAAGCATAGAGCAGAACTGCTCTCACCGACGCGTTGTAGATCCGACCTTCTACAGCCAGACTAACATCACGAAGGCGCCAAAGATGGCCCAGATTGGCATAAGCCCCTCTGACTTTCACTATTCGTGCATTGGTATCATCACTCACGCCACTACCAGCACTTGTGCAGCTACCTAGGTACACGAACTTCTCGACTACGTCTATCTGCTCACCATCCAGGATGAGTACAGGATTAGAATCCTGTCAGTCTTGTAGAAGTACTTTGCACTTCGAAGGTGCAAAGCACATACCATACCTACGGACACTGATTGCCAACTGATTAAGTGCGGATTGCATGCCTTGGGCATTATCGCACAGTAAGACAATATCGTCCGCATACTCAAGGTCGAGAAGTCTTTCTCCAGGCATTTCCAAGTGGATTTGAGCTTAATGGTTAACTACACGTAAGAAGTCTATCCTTGAAAAGTAGAGTGCATAACCTGGCGGCTTGGTTAGGGTCATGATGTTGTTATCTCTAAGGTCTTTAAATTAATAAAAAAACAACATATCTACTTGGCTTTGAAGTGGCCTCTGGGATCAAGCATATCTTGTCTAATCTGTGAATACAAGCAAAACCATGATTAGCTTCTATGTATTTGGTGTCTGTTATCATTAAAATTACTATTATTTCAAAACCTAGTTAACTTTACTAGTGTGAAGTTTGGTAACTTTAGCCAGTGCAGTTTTTACTAGGCTCTACTTATGTTGGAGAGAGCAAGAAGCCTTTTTTGGGGAATATTGCTCTAAAATTTCACGAAAATTATCAATCAACCATCTTATTTTGTTTCAGCTGATATATATATATATATATATATATATATATATATATATAATCGACCCACGATATATTTGTTTGAATTTTTCCTGATTCATGGGATTAGTGATTTCATTTAATAATCGAATTAAGTATTTAAAATATATTTTATTTATCTACTTTTTTTGTCAACTATATTTGACCTTTAAATATCGTTTACTGAACTAGTAGTTTTTAAAAATGTTAACCCTAGTTATCAACGTACAAGACGAAAAGCGAGTATGCGGCACCCTCAGAAGTATAGCTAATATATGTAAACTCGGAAGCCGCGCTGAATTGTTACCTTATGCGAGTGATCTTTTGGGTGCAGTACTTCAGTTGCCTGGAGATTCTTCTAAGGGGATTCTTTTATGTCGTCTTGAAACGAAAGTTTTACAACGAATTTGTTTGTTATTTTGCCCACCAATAAATACAACATGGCAGTATCAACGAGGATGTCGATCACTACAAGACAACTTAGAATCTCTTTTGATGAATCATGACAACAAAGATTCTTTAGTCTCTGCAAAAGTTGCTGATCATTCGTTATACACAGGTTTTCAAAATAATATCTCAAGTGATATTTCTGGGGATTGTTCATTAACTATGAACTATGAATTGTCCAACACAGACGAAGTTGCAGAAGTTATTGATAAACTAATAAGCGCTTTACGCAGTCAATTTACTGGGGTTCGTTGGTCTGCTGCCAAAGGGTAGGAAGCATATTTATTTTTTACAGTATACTTGTATGAGTTCGTCCTCCTGTTTACTTTTAATTTAGTAGTTTAAAATGAAATGTCCCACTTCATTTTTCAGCACTTGTATTGTTATAACATAAATACATCTACTACTGGTGGTTTATGCAAGAGCATACTTTCCATAATATTAGAAATGTTTAGTTTCTTTAGGTATAACAGACTTGCCACTACCAATTTATTGCAAGGTGGTGGTAAACAAAATGAGTCAAGAGAGTTTAAATGAAGAACAGATAAGTCAGTGATCAGAAACCATCATACATGTACACTATGAAACATTTAAAAGTACTCTACACTTAAACTCTTCCCAGTGTTGCCGATCTCTGATAATAAATACAGTTCTCGAATACAACTCAGTTCATGTAAGCTTGATATCACACGACATGCATGGCTTGGTGGTGTTACTCAGCTGCTTAGACGAAGATAGATGAAACTTGGTTTAAATCAAGAGCTTAATATTCATGATTCCAGTACCTTCAACACGGAGCCACTAAGTTTAACTAAGTATCCTAATATAATGACGTTGATAAACTATGAAGCCTAGTTTCATAGACTATGGCAAACTGTATTTTAGATAGATGTTAGTGTCGCATTGTTTTTCAAATAGGATTAAGTGTTTTATCATGTCACTGAATGTTGGTCACTTATAGGCACTAGCCATTTTTATATTAAATGCTAAAGTAACGATATCTGAATTTCGTTTCATCCCAGTGAATTATATTTACAGAATTGCATTCCATAAATTGTGGACAATCGATGTGCTTTTTTTCTTAGGATCGGACGTATTTGTTCTCGTCTTTCCAGTTCAATGGTAAATGATGTTCTATCGGCTGTATTGTCCTTGTGTACGAAACTCGAACCATATACTGCATGGCATGGAGCTTGTCTTGCTTTGGCTGAACTTGGCCGTCGCAGTCTTCTTTTACCATCTAAATTACCAGAAGTAAATCTTTTGTTTTAACAGCGGATTAATTCAATGATAGGGACATATTTTTACTGGTAGTGTGCGAATCGATGACAAATATTACCCGTACCCTGAAAACCTTATATTTCACAGCCACGGAATATTAAAACGCAACACAACCGATGACTGAAAAATTAATATTTTACAAAAACTATCAGTTTGTTCACATTTTCAAGCACCTTAGAATTACAATGAAAAAGTGTCTAAGTGGTTTCTTTTGATTAGTCTAAAAACTTAATAAACTTTTCAGTAGCGTAGAAGCATGAATCAAAATATGGAGTAGAGAAAATTCTATTCCACCAATCTATGACATAAAAGTCTAGCTTCTTTTATGTCCTGTCTTGAAAGTTCTTGGAATTATTATTGTATTTCTGAAAATACGATGGTACTGGTCCAGTAAATTGTAAGACAATGAGCAGATATATCCTTTGGAAGAAGAACAGGTGGTGTTACTTTCACACCTCTGTAATGAGGCATATAATTAGACTGAAGGTTACTTCAATTTACTGCATGAAACTATATACATTGCCCAGATAATGGTACCAAGTATAATTTTAGGAAATGTTATTGAGTAATTAATGACCAATAAATCTACTTACTGAAGTGATTTACGTATGAAAATTCAGTGTAGATCCAGTATCATTTTCATATATTGAATTAAAATAGACTTATTATTTGCGAACTTGACTGTTTTAACTATCCTCTGATTACATATTGATTAAATAATAGGCTTTTCATTTCTAGGTAATCCCAGTAGTTTTACGAGCTCTGTTTTATGATGAGCGGTCTGGTGATCATAATTATGGATCAAATGTTCGAGATGCTGGGTGTTATGTGTGTTGGGCATTCGCAAGGGCATATCATCCTAAGGATTTCGTGGATTATGTCGTTCCTATTGCAAGCTCTCTAGTCTTGGTTAGCCTATTCGACCGAGAGGTTAGTGTACGTCGAGCAGCGTCTGCTGCATTTCAAGAGAACGTGGGTAGGCAGGTTAGTACCACAATTTTTATTTTTGAATCAGCTAATCGTACTGTTTTTATTAATTAACACATAAAGTACTGTTGGAATTATTTCGTTAGGCTTTGATATCATTGTATCATATTGCAGAATTAACGTGTATGATTACTATCAACGCTTACTTTTGTCAAAAGCAGTGGTAATATTAACACAACACAAACATTTCAGCCATTTAGAGCTCAGTTAATTAGTGTATGTATGATATGGACGAATTAATTTAAACCATATATTGTTTTTTATCTCATGAGGAAAACTTGAAGTTAATATGCGTACATCCCACTTAATAAAGCTTAGACCCACTATCAGCTGGTCAAATCTAGGAAGGCAAAGTTGGATTGACATCAGCTGCCCATTTGTTGAAAGTCGTGTTAAAAGCACTAAGCCACAATTCCACTGGTCTGTCTGTGAATATGTTCGCTAGTAGCTTGGTGGTTAAAGGGACTAAATTTTAGTCTCTAGATCGTAGTTTCGAGTCCCAGCCCATCTACTTCGGTTTGAACAATCGAGTAGTTTCACGAAACCCTAATATGTAAACTGTATATCAAAACTGAGTGCACAAATATGCACCTGGTCATCACAGTCGCTAATATTAATTTACTCAGTCACCTGTTATGTATACCTTAACCTAAAGTTTGAGTTTGCTTGTTTGTAAATTAACAAGTAAAATGCGTGAAGAAAATCGGACAGTGCAAACACCAAAGATTCAAAGTTCTGTTAAACTTCACCATTTACGTTGAATAAATTAATTAAATTGTCATGCTTATCGATAGGTGTGCAGCAATGATAATAACCAGTTTTCAAGTCAAGACGACCGGGAAGACGCCACTAAATCAGAATTTGTTCTCGTTGACTTTTCACGAAACGTTGGTATAAAAAATCCTACTGTTTGCAAAATGGAATGTCTTTGGTACTTAGGTTCTACTATCTACTCTTACTGATTGGATAATAATTATACGTCATCCTATATCCTCCGCCTCAAGGAATATGGTAACTACGGAGCAGCTGAAGATTTCAGTTGACGTTAGAAATAGACCCGAGGATGTATTATTTATTGGTTTAAGGATTCGACTTTCAACCAACAAATTTCAGATCTTAACGCATCCTTATCTACTTCCGTGTGTCCAGTCGGGTCCTATCACAAGGGAGACAATCGTAATCTTTTGTTGGTAATTGGTTCCATTGACACCAGTGTATTCATTTTTTTATTTTCTCGTAAATCTTACGCTTTGATGTCATTTCACGATTTCCTTCATTGTCTTCATTTGTATTTTTCAAGTTAGAGTTTCCATTATCTCGGCATTCTTTTTGTCTTGTTTGCTATATTTTGATTGTACTTATGTACACTATGGGAATTCGGGTCGATGCACGTTCGTGCTAGATTTTACATTGTTTGTGATTGATGTAGATGTTTAATACACGATCTAAATCTATTTTGTTCCAAGAGCGAAATAAAATATATCATTTACTGATTTCAAGTTCTTCGACGACACTGATTTGGTTAGATATATTTAATATTTTGCTGACTAATTATTTTCACTTGTGTTACTGCAGATAGAAAAAGCTCTGTACCTGATGGTAAGCTTTCAAGAGCATCACCTTAACAAAAAATTTCTACCATCAATTCCAAACGAATGTTGATATGATCATTCACTTGGTCCATATACACGTTATATAAGTTATATTAATATTTTCTAATCAACAGATACCCCAGTTGTTATGTTCGGATTTGTTCCTATTGTTAATTATTATTATACCATTATTATTTATATACATGTATATACATATATTCTTATCTACAAATAGGGTCATTTTCCACATGGAATTGAAGTCCTCACTACATGTGATTATTTCAGTGTGGGAAATCGTGCTCACTGTTACCTTCAGTTGAGGTTAGTTGAAAAAACAATCGTATTAAGATGGAGTGAATTTATTATATTCGTCTCTTTTGTTAGAGATTTCAAGTAATTTGAAAATATACTCAAGTGTTAAATCCATGTAACCTTCTGTGGAACTTTGTTTCATGTAATTTATTCATGTCTTTCAGATACTATGATAAATATGTACAAACCTATACTGAAAGACTAGTTCAGTGCATGGAGAAATAGGTTTTTATAGGAACTGAAAAAGACAATAACCAATCTGGAATCGCGGCCTTAACTCTATGTTAAAGAGCTTACTGTAAAGACTAAGTTACAAATTTTTGATAATGAGTGTATTGTAAGGCAAGATTGCCCTTACTGACACAACAATGATGTTTTGTAACCGGACTGACATCACAACTTGACTGAAAATGCCCCAGATTGACGTAAAGCAATGTGGATTTTCCTATATATCTTTTCTCCTACTCTACCACCAACACTGGTTTTGGTAATCGCGTAATATTGCTAACCACATAAAATGCGACTTAGAGTCTAATACACAAAACTTTTTGGGAAATGATTTACCTCAGACGCTGATGGTTAAACGTTCATGAAAATAAAAAGGTAGCTAACTTGATAAGTTATTACATAGTTAGTACCCTTGTTCAACCTATACAATTTTTATTTCTACTGTTTTTGTACTAATGATTAAATATATTTCTTGAAATTATTATTCAGTGTGTCTGTAGCTAAATTTAAAGAATATGTAGAACCTATGATTGGTCATTTGGTCAATGTTCGTCTTGGACATTGGGATGATTCAATCAGATATCTGGCTGCTTGTGCTTTAGGCAAACTATACATAGCTGATCCTGATTACATGATGGAAGTTGGTGAGTTTTATCTTATCCTAGTAAACATTTCCTACAATCTTTTCTGCGTATAATTATGCTTATTTTGCCATTCTTTACATGCTGTAAATGTATTACCGTATTGACTAGTTCTTCGAGTGATTCAGACTTAATTATAATATTAAGGTTTAATTTAATTTCATCGTTAAATAGTATAGTTTATTCATCGGATTATTATAATCGTGTATTCGTTTGGTCTCATATTGTAATAGTCAGTCAATAAGTTACACGTTTGACTGTGCTAGATTTTATAAAAGCCATATTTACTAGTATTATACGGGTGATAATTGAGTCCCGACCGAAGCTGCTACCTTGACGCTGTGGTCGGGCTTGCCTATCATGATGACCCAACCGAGCTATATTGGCTGGAACATATGTTCCTGTAGGTTCTACCATGCCAGGCAGGTCGATTGGTGAACGGTAAGACTAAAAGCAGCAACTCAAGGTCTGAGGGCGAAGTCGTACTGCTGACTGTACAGAGGTGTGACGGCAGTAAGGTGTTTCCCTCGGACAACCAGCATGACAGCGATGCTACCTTCCCACAAGGAGGGGTGGGGTTAGAAAAGGTCGACCCTAAAAATGTCACACCTCACCTTACCTCACGGATTTCCGTCTCCGGCGGTAAGGCCCTTTGAAGAACGGAGCTAACACGTCAAAAACCTTCCACAAAAAGGCCGTGCGCGACCGGCCTCAACTAGTTGTCCCTTGGGCTCTGCGGCCACGCTCCCAGGTCGTCAAGACCAACACTAATCCAATTTCCTTTTCAAGTTCCTCAAGAACTACCCTTCCACGGTGTGGGCAGCCGGGAAGTGACATCAGCCCTCATACCCGCAACAGCACACGACTGACTGATAATTGAGTACATTAACTATCACATCTCAATACTGTTTTAGTGCGCTCACTATTTCCCTTCGTCTGGGTTATTGTCTTTCATAATACTTTGAACTAGCAGTCGTTATTCTGAAATTACTTAATTGCTATTCAGTAGGATCAATAAGGTATGCTAGCTAATTTGTTTATAATGTGGCTTCTTGTGTTCTTATCAATGATGATTTGAATGGGAGCTAGTATAACTGATTCCATACGCTTGGTTTCTTAATATCATTGTTTTATGTAGGAGGATTTCGTGATTTGATAAGTGATTGTTCGCTCATTATCATTGAGTAGAATACTGATCGATCGACGATATGGAGGATCCACCCTGGGGGAGTTGGAAGGCCCTGATTCCAAACCAATGGTGAACATGGGCTCCAGGATCCTAAAGGAACAAATGGTGTATAAACCAATTTTTGGTCACCGGCTACCATGGGACTGCATCTCCTGGCGTTGCCCCGCTGCCCTGTGGATCAGACCTTTAGGTCAAAGGCTACGGGTGTGGCCCCCTGAGAAAACCACCTGCTTCGGTCTGGGCACCCGGGTAGTATCATAGCCCACACACAAATCAAGTGACTTGTGTGGTGCATATGTATTCTGCACCCCTTTGTTCCAATATTTGTGTTCAAATAAATAGTTAGATAAATAAATGATACAATATGGTTGAGTGGTGGTTGTTCTAGGGACCGGATTATCGACTGATACCCCCTAAATGTTTTGGAAATATAGACAATATCATTAGTCAGAAGAATAGGTCTTTTTGTTTAATAATATGACATGCTTATATACAAAATAGGAACATGAAATAAAGATAATAAATTGTTATGGGGTATTAGAAGGAGCTTAACTTGTATATCATTCACTCTCCAATCAATCAAGACCTGTTTGTCAGGCCCATTTATTACACATCATATAAGACTAACAACGTTTAGTAAAACCCACCAGTATATATATAGGCGAAAACTAAAAATGATTGTATGGTACGGTCTTTCTTTATAATGTATTCATTGAGACAAATTATTTGTAACTATCAGCTCAAGTCTAGTATGCTTCCTACTTATGAAGTAAAAAGCTATAGTTACACCTAAAAAGTTACGAGGATTAGTCATTACATAGGGTTAGAGTGAAGGCTACGTATTTTGTTTCGTATTCAACTGATACGTTATGTTTCCTTTTATGGGATCCTGAAAATTATTCAACTAAGCTACTTGAGGTGTTATCAGACATAACTACAACTGTGAAAACAGTCAATAATCTAAATTTTAAGTTATCTTTTCTTACCCTTATTAAGTAATAAGAAGTATTCATTTGCTTTTAAGTCTTGCCTCAGATCATCAATGGTTCAATTAAATCTACTCTACACAATCAACAAGGGTGTATATTTGGAACAGGTGAATTGTTATGTGCATCATCCAGGTTAGTGGTCTACTGATTGTACTATTTATATGTGCTATTGTGTGACCGTTTATTTGTAACATTTGTTATTATATATGTTGATCAATCGTTGTTAAATCAGTGAAACCGAGGAAAATAGTACTGGTTTAGGTTCACTGAATTATTTTATGCTATATGCATATGTATACGCCAGTCTATCATTGTTTAATTTACGTTAGCCATTTTCTGAATAACATTCAAATAAGATAAACTTTGGTCGCTTCATTAAATTTTACTTGACAGTGTTTGTCGACAGAATATTCTTTGTAATATTTAATCTTCAATCAAAGTTTTCTAAATGTAATTCGTCGATGCAGAGTTTATGTCCAATATATGTGGTGACAATTACAAGTTGGATATTTAACTGTATGCAGAGGGGAAGGATTCTAGGCATAATGCAGAGACAATTACAATATGTAGTTTAACAAATGAAGACAATATTCTTGTGACTATAAATTATAAGTTTGATTTTTTTTATTGACTATTCTCTGTTGCACAATGAAATCAAAACCAAGTTTAGATTAGTCCTGGAGAATGTTGTCACTGATGATAAAATAATCAACAATTATATCAGTATACATTAAAGAGGAAGAATGTATTTGTAAAATCTCAGTGAATGAATTTGAAGTTAACCCAACGTTTCGCCTGGCAACCTTGTCCAAGCTTTTTCAAGGAAATATAATCAAACATCAAAATTATCGAATATAAATAGGTATATGGTTCTCCGGTTCACTGTATACTGAATAGGCCATCTACTCAACGTTAACAATGTTTGAAGTATGTATTTGCATTAGTGTGTAAGCGACATGTAATGTGAAACAAAAAGTGTTAAGACAACAGATTGTGTGTATACGCAAGTGGTGTGAGAAGCAATTTCTCTGGTTGGTGGATTTTAAGAAAACATATAAGTTTATATATGATATAAATAAAAAATTCACTGACCAGAGAAATTGCTTCTCACACCACTTGCGTATACACACAATCTGTTGTCTTAACACTTTTTGTTTCACACTACTTGTCGCTTACACACTAATGCAAATACATACTTCAAACATTGTAGGAAGCAATTTCCCACAGATTCAACTCTAAGCTAATCTCTAGACTGTCGAGTACAGAGTCTTGGTTTAGCCAAAGTCAGAACAAGCAAGCTATTTGGCTAGATAAACTTTATCTGTTTCTAAAACATAAATTAACATCGTTAGTGTACAAACAAACAGTACGGTCTATTAATACAGGGAAAAACAGAGACAAATAACATACCGAACAGTAGCCAGAGAATAGGAAAAATGAGTCAACAAGCCAATATTGTTTTACAATGAACATTAAACTGTGATTGGTTAATAAAGAGATACAGTCGTACAAGGTCAAAAGGAGTTGATGTAGTGGTGGGCGTTTCCCTTATTATTGGTGGGTTCGTCTATCAATCACATTTTACACTCCCCCCGAAACGCGCACCACGTCCGTTGTCCAGGGTCATCGTCGCCGTCAGACAGCCGGCTCGTTCTAGTAGACATAAGCGTCGTACGTCTCGAGCAGTTTCTTCGTTTGCAGTTCTCAATTTTGCCCTACGAACTTGTCCGTCAAAGCCATAGCTTACTTGTTCGACAATAGCTTTGGACCATAGACTTCTCAGTGAGCCAACATTGTTTAATAACACTAAGTCTCTCGAAGACTCATCCATCAATACCTTCTGAAACAATAGTGATCGCAGAATTCTTCTTATCGACTTTATGATGCGTCCCCATACACCGTCTGGTTGACTAGACCTCGGAATTTTAAAGCGCCATTCACAACCTCTCTCAAAAAGGGCATTTACTGTCTTATTCTGATTCCAACTACACATGATCTGTCTAAGAATAGCATTGGATCCTATAGAACTACCAGATGCACCCTTACTCTTGTTCACAACTCGTACAAGGGCGCCTTTCTCAACACCATATCCTCGATACCATGGCGAATATAGCTTGTTCTGACTTTGGCTAAACCAAGACTCTGTACTCGACAGTCTAGAGATTAGCTTAGAGTTGAATCTGTGGGAAATTGCTTCCTACAATGTTTGAAGTATGTATTTGCATTAGTGTGTAAGCGACATGTAGTGTGAAACAAAAAGTGTTAAGACAACAGATTGTGTGTATACGCAAGTGGTGTGAGAAGCAATTTCTCTGGTCAGTGAATTTTTTATTTATATCATATATAAACTTATATGTTTTCTTAAAATCCACCAACCAGAGAAATTGCTTCTCACACCACTTGCGTATACACACAATCTGTTGTCTTAACACTTTTTGTTTCACATTACATGTCGCTTACACACTAATGCAAATACATACTTCAAACATTGTTAACGTTGAGTAGATGGCCTATTCAGTATACAGTGAACCGGAGAACCATATACCTATTTATATTCGATAATTTTGATGTTTGATTATATTTCCTTGAAAAAGCTTGGACAAGGTTGCCAGGCGAAACGTTGGGTTAACTTCAAATTCATTCACTGAGATTTTACAAATACATTCTTGCTCTTTAATGTCTAACATTAACTCGGCTCCCAAATACTGTGAAAGTATTCGATCAAATTTAGACGAGTTTTTATATATCAGTATACATGCTAAAAATCCAACTGATAAATATTGAGGATTTATCAGAATAGTTTTTTGTACAGTGTAGCGGCATTTTGAGTTGTCAGTTCCAACGTTTTAGTCTTCTTTTCTGTCACTGAGTAATAAGATAATTACTGATTGATCATTTATATCCCGTTCCGTCTAGAAGATTTTCATTTTGAATGTTACACTTAATAAATAACTTAAAGGTTGAATTACAGTTACGTAATCATTGGTGATTATCTTATTTATAGGTTGTGAAGCAATAAACCAATTTGTAACAATACACCAATCTGTTGTATATAACCCCAAATATATATATCTTCAAATAGACTGATTTTTTTACGTAAAACAATTACTATAATCACACCAACAAATTCATCTGGATTGAAATTAAATGAGAAACAGTATTCTTGAACTTAATTATTATTTTTACATATCATATCCTACTGTTATTATTTCTTTTATTTTTTCAGTTATGTTATAAATGAGGAAAATCTACTCAAGATTAAGGAAATTGTTCCAGCAGTAAGTTGAATTTCCATTCTCAATGATGCTTATTACATATTGTTTTGCATTTTTATGTGAATCTTTTGGACATAAAGATATATCCTGAATGTAAGGTGGCTAATACTGGTAGTGTTAGTAACAATGCTAGTAATAACTATAACGGCAATGATAATAATATTAATGATATTGTTGGGAAGGCTCCCAAAAAGTACGACGGAGTCTCCAGGGGCTCTAAAGGAGCCGAAGAGATTCTATTCAATCAGAATCTGACAGAACCTTCTAGAACATCAACGTGACATTCCATGATTAGACAATTGTATAACTTTCCTACTTGCGGATAGGCTGAGTTATAATGATTTTATAGTTTATACTAAAACTGTTAATACCCCTGTTCTTCTGTACATTTTTGACTTTTACCTGATAATCGCTTCCCTTTCTTCTTCGCTCGTTTGATTTGTGACTGTAGGGGTTCTATACGTCCGAGTGCTGATAGTTGTATACCGTATTCTTACCGTAATCGGGTAGAGGGCGTAACAAATACTAATAATAGTGCTAATAGTAATGATGGCAATAATAATAGTAACAAATGGTCATACTTTTAGTCAGGTTTTACTTTTTATTATTCTTGTTACTGATTGTGTGTAACCCCAAGATTGTGTCTTTTTTAAATTCGAGAGTAAAAATTCGAAACACTCATGATAACAGGAGAAAGGAATTGAGGACAAAGAAAACCGAGATTGTTAGATGACTTTAAGGGCTTACAGCTTATGTAGAGCACCAATTAACAGGTGATCACCGACTTTGATTCCCCAAGTGTATCACGATCTTCGTTATTTTCAATCATTGTTCACCGAACCTCAAAATCATTCGTGTGGTTTTAAAATGGAATAGGACAATCACTATAGATCTAGGAATGATTAAGTACATAACTCGTGAGACATCATAAGCTCATAGAAATCGCTTCATAGAAGTACTTGGATTTCTGTTATCCGAATAATATCGTAGCAAGTGATGAAAATCAGTATCAAAAGGACATTAACTGTAAGCTGTTGCACTCCATTCAAGTTATCAGCTACACAGTTTAGGGGAAATGTAGTATGCTGATCACCCATCTCTAAAAATAGAGGTGAATGTGAAATAAACACTTTTAAAAGGGATTCATCCGGAATAGTGTGGAGTTGCAAATTAAGTTACTTTTGTGATTAATACTTGGGTATAATTCTATTTGCGAAGGTTTGTATTATCCTAAATTGGAAGAAAAACACTTCTTCAATGATTGAAAAGATTCGCTCAGTGCTTCTTTTGTCACGAAATTTTTGATAATCATCTTATCGCGCAACATAATGGGAGTTGAGTCAGGAGATTGTTTGATGAAATTCTGTTTAAGTTTGTCTGATGTAAATTTGTGTTATTAACAACAGGTCGATTACTGGGATTCGATCAGTGTCTTCAAAGCATTACCTGTGAATATTGGGACCACTTAGTGAGCAATCATGAAGTTCAATGTAGGGTGTTGGACAAGTATAGTAAATTGGTTGATAAGTTTGTTGGTCCTTATCGATTGAAGTGGTTGGGCTATGTGTTACGTATGCCTGAATTGATGGATAGAAGTAATTTGGATAAACGTTACTTACTTACGCCTGTTACTCCCAATGGAGCATAGACCGCCGACCAGCATTCTCCAACCTACTCTGTCATGGGCCTTCCTTTCTAGTTCTATCCAATCGCTGTTCATTCTTCGCATGTCTGTCTCCATTTCTCGACGTAGTGTGTTCTTTGGCCTTGAGTATTGCAAGTGAGGGCTTTTCTTGTGACACAGTTGGTTGCTTTCCTCAACATGTGTCCTATCCACTTCCAGCGCTTCTTCCTAATTTCTTCTTCTGCTGGGATCTGGTTTGTTCTCTCCCACAGTAGGTTGTTGCTGATAGTGCCTGGCCGACAGATCCGAGCTATTTTGCGTAGGCAACTGTTAATAAACACTTGTATCTTCTGGATGATGGCTTTCGTAGTTCTCCAGGTTTCCTCCCCATACAGTTGAACTGTGTTGACATTTGCATTGAAAATTCTGATCTTCGTGTTGGTTGACAGTTGTTTTGAGTTCCAGATGTTCTTCATTTATAAATATGCTGGTCTTGCTTTGCTGATCCGCGCCTTCACGTCTGCATCAGATCCACCGTGTTCATCAATGATTCTGTTCAGATATGTGAAGGTTTTTACATCTTCCAAATCGTCTCCGTCAAGTGTGATTGGATTGTTGCATGTTGTGTTGTATCGGAGAATCTTGCTTTTCCCTTTGTGCATGTTGAGCCTTACTACTGCTGAGGCTGCTGCTACACTGGTCGTCTTCTCCTTCATTTGTTGTTGTGTGTGCGACAGAAGAGCCAGATCATCTGCGAAGTCTAGATCGTCCAGCTGCATTCTAGCTGTCCACTGTGTATTATGCTTCTCCTCAGATGTTGACGTCTTCATGATCCATTTGATCACTAGGATAAAGAAAGGTGAGAGTAAGCAACCTTGCCTGACACTGATCTTTACCTTGAACGAATCTGTCAGTTGTCCTCCATGCACGATTTTGCTGTTTAATCCACCATAGGAATTCCGTATGATATTGACTATTTTATGGGGCACGCCGTAGTGTCGAAGAAGCTTCCATAGTGTTGTCCTATCCACGCTGTCGAATGCTCTCTCGTAGTCAATGAACCTGATGTAGAGTGATGAATTTCATTCAATTGATTGTTCCACAATGATCCGCAGTGTTTCGATTTGGTCTGTACATGATCGATCCTTACGGAATCCTGCCTGTTTATTTTGAAATTGAGCGTCTACGGTGTCCTTCATTCTGTTCAACAGTACCCTGTTGAAGACTTTCCCTGGTATTGAGAGAAGAGTGATGCCCCTGTAGTTATCACATTTGCTGAAATTGCCTTTCTTTTGTATCTTGATCAGGTGTCCTTCTTTTCAGTCTGCTGGTACTTGTTCTTCATCCCAAATCTTGCTGAAGAGAATTCGGAATATCCTTTCAGTCACCGCTACGTCTGCTTTCATTGCCTCTGCTGGAATGTTGTCTGGTCCTGCTGCTTTGCCACTCTTGATTTGTCTGATGGCCATGCTGATCTCTTGAATTGTTGGTGGGCCAACATCGTTTGGGAGGTCCGTGGGTGCTGCTTCGGTGTTGGATGGGTTCAGTGGGGCTGGTCGATTCTACCCACCTGTTTCGTTGTTCTTCAATATTTGCGATTACCTTGCCTTCCTTGCTTTTCACTGATCGTTCTAGTTTACGGTGATTTGCAGAGAGTTTCTTTGTTATGTCATACAGTTCTTATGTTTCCTCTTTCAGCCTTTTCTTCCGTCATCGCTAAATCTTCCACATATTTACGTTTGTCGGTTCTAATGCTCCTCTTCACTTGTTTGTTTACTTCTCTGTATTCAGCTTGTGCCTTGGATTTTTCTGCTCTTGTTCGGCTGGTATTGATTGCTTCTTTCTTGTTCCTCCTTTCTCGAATCTTATCCAGTGTATCAACAGTGGTTCATTCCTTGTGGTGGTGCTCCTTGTGGCCCGGAACCCCATGACATGTTGAAGTGATTGCCTCTTTTATCACTTTCCAGTTGCTCTCCATAGTAGTTCCATCTCCATTGAGTAGATCATGAAAGGGCTGGGACCTATTGCTGAGGGTTATCCTGAATTTGTTCAGTTTGTCAGTATCCCGAAGAAAAGCCGTATTAAACTTTTGTGATGTTGTCCGCCCTGTTGTCCAGTGCATCTTGAGTTTCAGTCTCATCTTGGCGACCAGCAAGTGTTGATCTGATGCTATATCAACTTCACTCTTGGTTTTCACGTCCTCCATCGTCCTCCTGGACTTCTATGGTCGATATGGTTCTGTGTAGTGTGGTCCGGTGAAATCCACGTGGCTTTGTACATGCGTTTATGTGGGAATATAGTGCCGCCTATGACCAGTTTGTTGAAGGCACATAGGTTTGAAAATCTCCCACCATTTTCGTTCCTTTCTCCCAGTCTATGTCGTCCCATTGTGGTGTGTGCTACTTATATTGACATAAGTAGTATATGTTGTTAGTCGTGAACGGAAGGTCTGGCAGCAGAGAGACAAGAGGATCGAACAGTAAAGAATGAAAACAGGATGCAATTTGTATGATGATGCAAGAACAATGAAGTCATTTTGAGACAATTGGTGGACATTTTGCAAATTAAGCATTTACTTTATGATTGCTAGATTTTATTAACAAGTCCTGTAATTTTGTGTTAGATATATTAGATTGTCCCCACCGCTGTTATTGTTCACCACACTATAATGTCTTCATATCCGGTGCTGTTCATTCCAACCTTGGCATTTAGGTCTCCCATGAGAATGGTCAAGTCCTCTGTTGGGCGCTTCTCGATGATTGACTGCAGCCTATTGTAGAATTGATCTTTAGCGTCTTCATTGTGGTTGTTGGTAGGCGCATAGCATTGGATGACGTTCATTGTAATGTCCTCGTTCTTTGTTTTGAATGAGGCTTTGATGATCCTTGGTCCATGAGATTCCCATCCTATAAGTGCATTTTGTGCTTGTTTGGACAGCATCAATGCAATTCCTTGTGTATGTGGGGCATTTTCTTCATCATGGCCGGAGTATAACAGATGCTCCCCCGAAGCTAGTCGTTGTTGTCCAACTTGCATCCAATGTGTTTCAGTGATCCCAAGCACCTCTTGGTTGTATCTTCTCATTTCTGCAGCAATTTGGAAGACTCTCCCGGTCTCCCACATTGTACGACTATTCCATGTACCTAAATAAATGGTTGGTCTGGTTGTCAGAAGGGGCATCGACCTCGTGACTTCCGAAGAAACTCGACTTTCATCATGAAGCGTCATAGTTCTTGTAAATGAAAACCTTCTGACTCCCAGGGCAGAGTTTAGAAGGTTCGAATAATTTTTTTTGGTAGGCATTGTTTTAGTGGGTTAGTTTTCTACGGGATGGGGTCGCTAACCCCATGACCGACCCTCCTGCTTTATCCGGGATTGGGTCCAGCATTAGCCTCAGGGGAGCTCCAGATTTGGTTAGGAGCAGCCAAAGCAAAAGCATGTCATCAGTCCTCGAAGCCATTATCTGTTATTCCGAACCATGTTGGTTGAAAGTATACGCAATTATCGTGACCATCGGTGAGCAGCGTCGAATGACAGGGCTAATAATCGATCACAATCGCACATATTAATGTACTCTTCGTCTGTCCTTAGATCCTGAATTGCAAGACTAATTTTTTACTTTTTTATTTCGCGAACTTGTTTTTTTTCTCGGATAGTATTCTGTATATCCAGTATTTTACTACCACTGATATGTAATTGGTTGGTAATAGTGTCTGTTAATAGGAAACCCATTTAGCTGATGAACTTAATGCAAATGTTTCCACTGATCCTGTTTGTAATACCGAAATTCTGTTACCGCTTTTTTAAGGGCTGTTTAGAGCTTTGCTGGACATTAGCGTACGCATCTTCTATTGTCTCTCCGTTCAACTCGATTATTTTGTCGTAAACTGAAATTTGGTTACGAAAAAAACTTCTGTCAAGGTTGTATCATAATGATAGCTATGGTTTTCAGTGATGCAGTTTTGTTTAGATAATTGTGTGATGAATGAGTAGCGCCCTCAGTTGACCATTTCTTAATATATTGTTTTTGAAAGCAAAAATAAATCTCTCACAACTTTTCTTCACGTAATACATTTTCCAGATTAGTATGGATATTTATTTCATGCGTTATGCGTTCAATTTGTTCATCATTTGTGTGTTTAGTTACTAATGAAAGAAGCTTTATCACTTTTATCGTTTTCTTTTACTCAGCTTAAAAGAGCGAACAAATTTCGTGGTCTAAGTGGTGAATTAATTCGAAAAGCAACTGCTCATTTTATTCAGAAGTGTGCAATGGCCAGATTACCGTTTCATGATGATCCAATTATTGGTGAGTTTTTCCTATACTTATTATAACTTTTTTTCGATTTGGTTCGGAATTTTGACATTCGACATACTTAAAAGTCTCCAAGACTAACATCGCTCGGTCATAATTATCATATTTTGTTTGGCGACTACATTTAAGATAGATTACCATAAATTCTTATAGGCGACAATAAAATATAGAGTCAGCAAGTCGGAAGTGAATCAGTATCTTATCGATTGTATTATAGGAGTATCATGTCAAATGAAAATTGAGTCGAATCGGAAAGTACGGTACATTGAATTCCGGTATTTTGGTTGTCGCGAGACCGTATGTTTCTGTTCTTGATACCATATTGTATCTTGTGTGAGCATATCTAAGAAATTCCAAGCTTCATTGAAATCGCTGTACAGTTTTCCCTGGTTTTCACTGTCCTCTGAATATCTTCAGTTCAAAATAAATACTACTTAGAAGATATAGAACATTATCCATATCATCATAGTGAATTACACATCTCTGTTTACAGTCAAGTTAATTTTATTTCATTCTTTACTGAGACGTACTTGGTAGGATTGGAAACTCAACAGTTCAAACGTTCAACACCCAACTTATTTCATAGGTCTAAACTCCACCTTACCTACTTGGGTTTGAGAAGCTGGGCAGTACCTCTAACCATCACACGAATAGTATTGTACATGGCCGAGTGCATAAACGCGTATTTTCTAGGAGAGTTATAATAAAACACTTCAAATATATTTGAAGTTTATTATTACGGGACGTATAGCGTGTACTTTTGTATTTACTGGATCCAGTTATTTTACTAGTACGTACTCGCATATTATTCGTTTAACTAGTAAGAAGATGTTATTGATTGATCGTATGTTGCCAATTTTGCTAGCATGTATAGATGATCATGCACCACCTTATCCTTAATATACTTTCCAAATACTGTGCAAGATATCTATCAAATGCGAAATCCAGCACATTGGGTGTATATCTATTAAATTTATTATTTTATTTCTTTGTCATTATTTTTGTACCGTCAGAAGTTTGGCGTGAATTCTTGGATGATTGTGTCGGACATAAAAATCCTGAAGTACAGGTAAAGATTAATAAATGTTACTATGAAAAAAGTTTGCTATGATATTAAGTTATTTAATGCTTAATTATTCTTAAACATAATATTTTCTTTTACTTTGTAACCATGTTTCTTTGTCTTTTTTCTGGTGGGAGGGGGAGGGGTGGGCATTTTATTTTAACTATTTAGTTTTAATAAAAGGAACCTTCAAATTTACCGGTAAAATTTCTACAGTTTGTGACAATTAAGCTTTTCTTATTGATCATATTGATAGAAACAAATGGTTATTGATAAAAAAGTTATCTTAATAGCTAATTGAAAAAAGTACAATTTTTCGTTTAATAATTTTAATTTATCTTCTCTCAACTATTTATTTTAATATTTGTAATCTGAAGTTCGAATCAGTCTTAATTATTATCCAATTTTTAGGTTGGTTTTGTTTTAACAGGTGAAAATTTTTCTCATTGATTGGAAATAGATTAAGGCTATTAGAAACTACATTATATGTATTATACCATTATAATATAGTGAAATTGTAGAGGAATATAAAAATCAAATTGTAGCTAGTCTTGTCCAAATAACTAATCGAGTGCTTATATCAATTTAATAATCATGTGTTGTTTAAATTCTTATTGTACTTGTTCCTCTGAATGCCTTCAATATAGCTAAATGATGAAGCTTTATCACTAACAACTGGGGATGTGATTATCTGAATCTTACTTGTTAAGTTTTCCTTTTTAATAGCTAAATTCATGAGTCCATGTAAGCTAGACAACCATTAAAGACCTAGAAGCACTAGACGGTCGTTTCGTCCTAGCATGGGACTCCTCAGCAGTGCACATCCACGATCCCACATGCAGGACGCGAATCAGGGACCATCGGTCTCGCGCGCGAGCCCCATGACCTGTAGACCACTGAGCTGTCATCCAATGATGTTAATGTCTAACTTCAATCGATTCACGATCTTGCGCAACCATTCATCTATTGTCTGAGGTAGATACCTGTCTCTACCAGACATGGATTGGTCACAGCCTCTCGACTCATAAATTCAACTAATAAAAATTACTACAATCTCCACAAACCTCCGTTCTGATCAGAAATTTTATTTTGTTAGTTTTTGATTTAGAACAACATATATAAGTGAACAATCTTGTTTCCAATTAGATCCTTATCAGGCTTTACTCTAATGTACATTCATATTTATATGCATTTATGAAATTATTAAATTAATCAAGACCGTTTATGAGTCAGTGATAACAGCGGATAGATTATATAGACAAATATAAGAAGTAAAAGGTGCAAATTGATAGTGTGATGACAAATGTACTAGTTGTGATAACAAACGCTCAAATAAATGTTTCATAATGGCAAATAGGTCACTGACTTGGAAAAATATAGATGCCGAAATAACATCCATAAAACTATAAGATTGCGTATTAAGAGGTGCTCAGATAATTGGATAAAGAAAGGTGGGAGTGAAAAAAATAGACGAACAAAGGGTATGGAAAATCATGATGAATATAATCTCTTATTAATTCGATCAGGGAAGAGATAAATGTGTTACAAATTTCCTATGAATACAAAGACTTGTATTGTTAGCTCGAATTCTTATAGCTTCTGGTGTGTGTAAGAGATGAGATCGAACCACATACGGTAAACTAATAGGAATACGATAAATCACTTTAAATGACCTATTTCTGTCTACTACACGACCGCTATCGATCAAATGTAATAGAACAGAACTGTGTATTGTTTTGACGATGCCCCTTCCTATCCACGAATGGAGGTGCTTACCAACTTGTTCGCTCAGTTATCTGGTTGTGCACCCAATATAGCTTTCTCCACGGGAGCAGCTGGTTTCGTAGATACACATAGATTTGGCAAAACTAGGTAGTGTATCCTTTAGTTGAGGAATCACCACAGGTTGGGTCGAAAATGATAGACAATAGTTAGTTCTGTTCATTTCTCTAATCAGTCTCCAGTAGCGCATCACATCAGTTTTCGATTTTGTCATTATCAGTTTACCTCGTTAAGTGTATAACTTTAACATCTCAACAGTTTCAATAAAATTTGAACATGATTAGCAAACTGAACTTACAGATGGCTTTCTATTCTTTGAAGAAATAATCTATATTTTGTTATATTGTGTGTTGTCACATGATGGGCTTAACTGTTATAAGTAAACCTAACTTTGTAACTGAAGTGTTTTTTCTCAATAAGTAAATTGTATCTTCATTTTCAGAAAGCTACTGTGAATGCATATCCCCACTTTTTATCAACTTATTTGTACAACCGAAATGGTGAACTGAAATTAGGCTATAAAGGTATTTTAACAAATTTTGTAAAATAAATTATACGTTAATCTGCCTGTTAATAACCTTTCAATAGTGTGTACCAATTTTTGTTTGGCCAACTGCCTTTATCTAAATATGGTATTTTTACTGGGACATTTGTTCTCTATCTATCAGCATTCACCATTGACTTTGATACATACTCTCCGATCTGTTGAAGCTACTCTCGAGGTATAGATAATATTTTGTACATGACAACTTGTCACAAAAACAAATGAAGACACTACCATGCCTAGTCGCGAATACACTCATCTTCGTGCTTTGTTTACAGGTTAACAATGTTTATTAAATGGTGATAAACTTGTGGATGGAACGCAAACTACTGATGTATCTGTGTACCGTCCATCCATAGATGAGGAGTGTTTTTAGGTCTATGAGCCAAACTCTGTAGATAATCTTCACTTAAGCACACACATACCCTGAATTTGTGGATAGTATCCTTTCAATCGGCTAGACATTTATTATACTGCTGAGATTGTTGCTACCATTGATAAACCCCTAATATTGGTTGTAAAGTTCATCCTGTTTACTACAAATAGGATTCAGATGGACTGACCAAATGTCATTTATCACTTATAAATAGTTTTTGGTAAGATTTATTATAGTAGTGCTCCATTAAATTATATTTTTCTCTTGGTTTTACTTCGTGCGTTAACTCTCACAATTTGTTCAGGATCATTCATCAGATCATACTTATCTGGTATCAGAATATCTTACTTGAAGTAAGTAAAATCAAGTTCAAACTCAACCCTACATTTTTTAGGTGGATATGTGGAATATCGAATTCCAAGTTCAATAAAGTACTATTAGAAACTCAAAATATATTTAGTTTTGTCAATAATTCGTCTTTGAGTTCACTGTATAGTTACTTGAATAATAGATTCAACCCAACTTAAAAGTATCATTTTTATTTACTTCGTTCAATCTGTTTGCTAAACCTTATTTCTTGTCGAGTACGTAGATGTTATTTTTGAGTTATATATCAATGATATCGATAGGTAAATCAAGTTACTAAGCATTGTATTTTAGTTAAACTCATAACTTGTAAATTGTTTTCATTTTCAGATTTATTGTACAGGAATTTTTTACTTCATTTAAATACTAATTCTGAATCGGAACTTTCCGGTTATTTACAAATTATTGGTGCAGCTCCGAGTAGTTTGTATTGTGGACATGTTGCTGACTTACTGGATACTGTCACTAGTGCTTGTAAATCGACTTCAAAGACAAAATTCTGGGTTGATTCTCGCGGATCCGCATTAAAAGCTCTTGTTCAGTAAGTTTGAGAAGAGACTCCTAATTATTTATTGTTTGGTATTAGATTACAAAATTTTAAGAATTGTATGATTGTTGTCTATATGAGGAAAATTTTGTTGCCAACATTATGTGATAGTGTTAGTTTAATAGTGTTCTAAGAAACTATTCATCTCATAAGTTAATATCCTAAGATAAATATATATATATATATATATATATATCCTTAGGGAATCCAACCTGTTGATCTCGAATCTGAATGTCTACTGAATATTTCATCTGGTTCAGCAACACTCTATTGTACCGATTGTAGTGTGATACCTCTGTAGTCCTCACACTTACTCAGATTTCCTTTGTTTGGTGTCTTGATAAAGTATTCTTCTTCTAAGTCTATCAGTGGGACTTGTTTTTCCCCTAAATCTTCGTGAATAGAACATTGCGCATGTTTGCAGTTACTTCTTTGTCTGACTTCAATGCTTCAGGTCCTGCTGCTTTCCCACTCTTAATTTGTCTGAATGCCGTGCTGATTTCTTCGATCATTGGTGGAGTGATAGCTATAATAATATCTGTGTGCGCTGCCTCGATGTCTGGTGGGTTTAGTGAACCTGGTCTGTTTAATAGTTCCCCGAAGTGTTCTACCCACCTGTTCCTCTGTCCTTGAATCTCAGTGATTGGTGTGCCTTCATTATCCTTGACCGGTCTTTCTGGTTTATTGTATTTCCCTACCAGTTTATTTGCTATGTCGGAAATACGTGAAAAACCAAGCAACGGCAGTGGAAAAAGTTGCAACAGAAGGAAATAATGCTGCTCTTCACTTGCTTATTTGCTTCTGTGCATTTGATCTGTGCCTTAACTTTCTGTGTTCTTGTTCGGCTGTTGTTAATTTCTGTCTTCTTGTTCTTCCTTTCTTGAATCTTGTCCAGTTTTTCAATAGACTTCCATTCCTTATGATGCTTTTTTCGACTCAGCACTTTCTGAGACGTTGAAGTTAGTGCTCCTTCTATCCCTTTCCAATGGTTTTCCACATTAACTTCCTCTTCCTTGAATAGATCTTGTACGGCTTGGAAGCTGTTGCTGAGAGTTATCTTGAATTGGTCGACTTTTTCAATATGTCGCAGATATTAAACCGTTGTAACACTCTTTCTCCAGTTGTCTAGTGTTTCTTTAGCTTCAGTTTCATCTTGGCAACCGCCGGGTGGTGATCTGAAGCTATGTCAGATTCTTTCCTGGTTCTCACCTCTTGCGTTGACCTTCTGAATTTTTGAGTGGTGCAAATGTGGTCGATTCGGTTCTCTGTAGCGTGATTCTGTGAGACGCATGTAGCTTGTGTATGTCTTTGGTGTGGGAATATAATGCCACATATAACTTTCGTTGTGGGCACATAAATTTGTAAATCCGTCACCATTCACCCAGTCCATGTCGTCCCATGATCTCTTCATTCTCGGTGTCGTCGATTCTGACTTTGGCATTTAGGTCTCCTATCAGGATTGTCAGGTCCCTTCTTGGGCACTTTGCTATGATTGAATGCAGCCTCTCGTAGAACTGATCTTTATCGTCGTTATTGCTATCGTTGGTGGGTGCGTAACATTGGATAACGTCTATCGCAATTCCCTCCTTCTTTGTTTTGAAGAATGCTTTAATGATCCTGGGTCTATGAGATTACATTCCTATAACTGCATTTCGTGCTTCGTGTTTCTTTTGGCAAAGCATTTTCTTCCTCATGACTAGATTACAATAATATTTCTTCTGAATCTAATCTTTTGTGCCCATCTTGGATCCTATGTGTTTCGCTGATTCCGAGCACCCCGAACTTGTATTTTCTGATTTCTTCAGCTACTTAAATGGTCCTCCCGGTCTCGTAAATTGTCTGGGCATTCTATGTACCTATATTAATTGTTACTCTGGTTGTTAAAAGAGACATCGGCCTCGTGATCTTGGCTTTCACTATGAGGCAGTTTTCTAAATGGCGATATTTGAACTCGGAGGGCAGAGCTTAGATGGTGTAAATAGTTTTTTGTGGCTAGCATTTTTGTTTAGCAAGGTTGTTTTCTATGGAAGTGTGTTGCTGACACTATACCCAACCCTCTTTTATCAGGACTCGGGACTGGTGGTAACCCTTGAAAAGCTAAAGTTGGAGTTAATTTTATTGACGTATATTATTGTTATTTTCATGTGATAACGGGCTAATTGTGCTAAACATTTGGTCAAATATAATTTTGCACTTGATTCTATTTTTCATACTCTAGGATCATAAAAAGTCTTGGGGCTCATCACTCGGAATTAAATGTTACCCTTTTGAAATCTACTTGTTATATTTTACTCCAATCTATATCCGATTATACAATGGATTCACGTGGGGATGTAGGTTCTCTGTAAGTGATTAAATTGTTCGTATATTCTATAACACTTTCATCATGCGTCCACTAACACTGAGTTTAATTTACACAAAATAACTTTTGGTGCATAAATCACTTGGGTTTATGTAACGCATATTGTTCAAGTTCATTGTTGATGTTTCAACAAATGATTTACTCCATACATTCTTAGCACTTATTAGTATTTACCTTTTACTCACTTTTGATGGATACAAAAGGTGTGCTGTGTGCTACAGATGTAAGTAGTATGTATCATGAATCGAAAGTGAAATGCCTGGCGGCAGAATGTTATGAATATTGGAGGAAAGAGAAGGAGAACAGAGAATGATTGCTGTGGAAGCTAAGTAACAATGAAGTCTGAGATGATTGATTGACATTTTGCAAATGATGTATTTTGCTAAGACGTTCTGTAATTTCGTGTTCAAATACATTCGATTGTCCCCACTTATGTCCTCGTTCATTACAAAGGTAATGTGAAGAAATTAACTGCATGTACATTTTGATTTGATGCTTTCGCACTTCATATGACTGCCCATACAGTGATTACCAATACAGAATAAAATAAACAAAATCTGCTGAAATAATAGTGACCTTAATATTAGTAAAGAAGCGATTAATCATTTGCTCCGTAAAAATTACTAAAAAAATCAACGGATGAAAGGTGTTAGGAATAACACAATATTTGAATTATAGGGATCGATAAACATTAATGAATCCATTTGCTCCATGACAAATAGCTTTTAGTTTTATCACCCTTAGTTTTCGTTAGTCAAGTATGGTTATCAATTTTGCATGCCTTATTTGAAAGTTTCTGTCCCTCTCTCTCTGAAAGATATTGTGAAAGAAAACATTATAATCGTATATTATTGTTTCAAATATATCTGGTTCATTTCAGAACATCAGGTTATAGTGCATCGTTTTCTTACTTTGTTGTCGTCTGTTCACATTCTTTTTAGTTAAATCACTACTAAAATTTAAACTCTATAGACATCTCCTCGTAAACCGTAGTAAATTTCTGTAACGAGGCCAATGGGTTCTCGCACACGTCAATTATCCAGTAATAATACACATAGTTAATTGACATCCACATAACAGCAACAACACATCGATCACTGGGTATTTCCACTGTCTTTATTACTGTCTATTCATGTTCTTGAGTAGTGTAATCATAGAAGTGCAAGTTTTCCTTACTGTTCTTGTTTTTATCAAACAATAAATGTAGGCCTGTGGTTGCTTTTTGTGAAGGCTGTAACTAAGGTAACAGCTGTTTCACACCAGTTTATACTGTTTTTATAATTTTTGTCATGTATATGAGAAGGCATGAGATTCTCCAACCAGTTTTGTTTGGCGAACAATAACCTGTTGTCTCGACCACGTAAAATGTTATTATTATTATTATTATTATTATTATTATTATTATTATTATTAATATTCTGATTAAAGTACACCTGGGTCACTTGTTTATCAATGACTTTACTTTCAGTTTTTATTTGTCTTCCAATTGTGTAGCGATACATATGCATTTCGATAATTATGAAAATATTTTTTATATTTGTTAGAATACATAAACATTGGTACGTGGGAGCACCAAATACATATGCGCCACACAAATCGAATGGATCCCCCAAACAGAAGCAGGTGGTTTTCTTAAAGTTCGCACCTGATCCTTTGACCTAAAGGTATAAGCCATAAGGCAGTGGAACAATGTTAAGAGGTGAAGTCCTATGGTTGCTGGTGACCAACAATTGATTGACAGGCCATTTGTTCCTTCAGGATCCTGAAGCCAATGTGCACCATTGGTTTGGAATTAGGGTTTTCCAACTCACTCTTCTAGATGAGTCCTCCATATCTACCAATCAGGGTAAAGTGCTGGACATTCTTCTTTGTCCTTTCAACTTCGTAAACAACACCCCGACCACGATAAAGCAGTGAGCAGGATTCCCCTGTGAGTGGCTGTATATTCGTGACCATGTGTGAGCATTTAGAGAGGGAGAACGGACTCTCCCCACCCTCATCCTTACCAGAGCACATAGGGACATACAAATAACTTGAGTAAAGTTAACACGTACTGACCAATGGTTAGGTAATGCGTAAGTACCTTAATCTAGAAACTATTTCTCAATCATCCTATATATAGTTATTTGAAGTTTATGATTCAGTTGTTATAACGAGTTGTACTCTTTGATGACTTAAACATATTATCTACGGCCATCTATTTTCAAGTTTATTTTGTTTCTTTACAAAGATAATGTAGTGATATTTATTTTCACTCGACATTTTCACAGTATCGTTAATATCGTTACAGTATACACTGATTAATATTTTCTCTTTATTTGCATACATACATAGTGTTCGCGAAGTTGGAATGAAATGTTTGGACTCATATATTGAGTTTCTTGTAAATAATCAATACAAAGATCTAATTACATCAGACATGTAAGTTTTTATATATTAATTCATTTCAGTAGAACAATCACTTTTTTAAAGAGTAGACTTCCTGATATAAGCTTATAGAAAACAAACATAAAGAGCAATGAAATATTTCTGTTCGACTACCTCCTTGTAATGGCCTTTCACCAATGTCATTCAACAAGTCATATGCAACGTATGATGAGCTTACACATTAATAATGACATCAGAAACGATTGAGCATACAATATAGATCAAGAAAACATGAATTCATGGAATACAAAATTTATTAGGTTTATTAAGAGATCTCGGCCATTACTAATGATTCTGAGTCACATTGCTCAAAGTCTTTAATCTCTTAAATAGAACAAGAACAAAGATTGGTGCAGAATCACCAAGATGCATATTTAACAATACTAACAAAATCGATATTGAGCCAGTGGTAGCGCGTTAAACAATAATATAACATTTAAAGGTGTTCATGAAAATATTTATATTAACTTTTAGTTACTTTATAAATCGTTTGTTATTCTATTATTTAATATCAATAAAATTGTTTCTTTTAATGTTGTACCATATATATTTAGGATTGAAGAAGTGATGACTAGCATTGCACAACAAGCTGTTGAAAAAATCGATCGGACGCGAGATGTAGCTGGTCAAGTGTTCGCTCATTTACTCCATCATGAGTGAGTGAATCATGTTCTCATGCCTTATTTACTCTTGTTTTTTGACGCGACCTATTAAGTTTCCTAATGAACAAGGTGAATCGAGTCGGAGAAAATTGAATTTCGAATAGAAAGTACTAATAAGTAATTAAAAAGAAGTGAAACATGAAAATAAATTAGTTCAGCTATTCTCATTTTAAAATTAGGTAGAGTCGTAAAAGCATATATCTATAGTGACTAACCGTTGATTTGAATTTGATCAACATATAGATCTTGCTGTTCAAAAAAACTGTATTTAGAACTATACAGTATGGAAATAAAAACCGGACAATAAGCTTGGTTTTTATTAAAATTATATTTTTATAAATTACATTTATGAAGCCTATGTTATTGTTATTGTTTCATTATACATTATAACATGTATCACCTAATTCACCGTGAATGGTGTATCTTAGTTGCTAAATGAAAATTAGACTGTATTGTTTAAAATTTCATAGCTAGAAATTAATTGACAGGATCTACTGAAAATAATTTTTCATTGATGTGAAAATGGTTTTTCATGCATGCAAATAGTAATAACATCTAACTATTTTTTTTGTTTTCAACAGTCCTCCTATCGAACACATTCCTCATTTTGAAGAACTGAAACAAATTTTCCCAAAGTAATTTCTACATATCACTTGTTATTTTTAACGATAATTCTTTTGGCTCAATATGAATTTCTGTAAAGTAGAATTATCACTGCGTAATAGTTCATAGAACTGTGTTAAATTGCTTGGATTACTCATAGAATTCACCTGGTACTATGAAGTGCTATATAATTATTACTTTTAAATTTGATACTATTTTTATTTTCTTCTCTGTATAATTCAAATCTGTCTCAATGTTACTTCCGTAAGTGTGTCATTCATCGTTTAATATTATATCACTCCAACGGTATCGGATACCGATTTATGGTTTCTGATGTAAATTTTTGTAAAACGCTTGTTTAGACAATATTATCAAATGTCTTTTTACTGAAGATATGGTTTACTAACGACCTTCAGGGAATCCTAAATGATATTGAGAAAGTAAGGCCAATTTTTTATTCAGTCAAACTATAGTCCACATAGATGAATAATTTATTACTCAGAAATCCTAAAATGGCTTGGAGTTGTGGGTAGTGTTTAAGAGTAGAATCGAAGCATGGTTTGTTGCTTGTTGGCTGAATAATTATGCAGATGTTTCTTTGGGTAAAAATACCCAAAACCTTTGACTTACCTTTAAAAGCTTCCTATTCTCTAGGTATCTCATGCTTATCAACTGTAACCGTCTTAGCAACTAAATATTATCAGATTTATGCTAAGATCCTAGTGTGATACAAGTTACCCATCGCGACATTTTGAACTCCATTCAAAAACCCAGTTGTTTCTATTTTAAATCTGATTAACTCGCCGATAAACGCATATTTTCCACCCTGTTTTCTAGTAGATATTCTCTTCATTTTGGTCTAATACACACACAACCTGACATGGTGATCTATGGTTAAAAATGAGCTCTTCATTACATTCAGATCAAAAATATTTATCAGTAGAAACATTAACACATCATCACTGAAAATCATATATAGCTAAATGATTGGTGAAATTAACCAATTGTGTTGGGGATACCCAGAAAATTCCCCGATAAAAGCCCGATGGAGCCCTGAAAACTCTGGGAAACATTTTGTCCATTCAGCGTTGAATAGAAGCTTATCAGAAACATCTAGATAGTGAAAAGTCACATGTCACATTCCTGATTGGATGATTACCTATCCTGCTACTGTGTTCAGTAGGGTTCCATAACTTTTCAGAAACCCAAGGTCATCTGAAATGCTAAAAACACCCTAGATTTTCGTCACATAAACGACCCTTGGAGTAAGGCGTTATTTCCATATTACGGGTTTTTTCTCTCGTGTTCTCGTTGTCGTGTATAGTTAACCTGGGGTTACTAGAAGAGTTTAGGGAACCAATCCAAGCGTTCAGACAGGCCTATGAAATTAAAATGGTATCAAATATGTATTTATTACTTAAGACTTTGAATAAGAACAGAAATCAGTGTATCCACCCTAATACAATTGATCTTAAATGATTTATTATCCGAAACAATATCCATTATGAGTTTTTATGTTATTTTCGAACATCATAGTGAGAAAATGTATTTATACTAAGAATTGATATTTCGGTAAAACGTTTGCTGTTGCATTTTCTTCAATCAACCAACTACCCATGTGAACGTAACTGTTATTTTATTTTGTTTTGTTTTTGTTAAATTTATTATTAGATCTGATTGTAATGATATGATATGGAATTCGGCCAATTCAACATTTCATCGTTTTACGAAATTGTTAGATTTTCCAGAATATCGTTATCGTTTAATTTTAGGCTAAATCGTCAGTGTCGGTGGTCTGACAGAATTAACAGTTAGTAAAATGTTTTATAGAATTTCTGTCTACCTATTTCTTTTTCATTTATTACAGTTTTTACAAGTTGAATTCACGATTCGACCTGGGCTAGATCATCATTGAAAACCTGGAAGCACTAGATGGCCGTTTCGTCCTAGTATGGGACTCCACAACAGTGAGCATTTACGGTTTCGCAGGCGAGACTCAAACCCAGGACCTTCGGTCTTGCGCGTGAACACTTGACCTCTAGACCACTGAGCTGGCATGTAACGGTGTTAATGTCTAACTCCAACCAGTCCACAATATCGTGCTTTGCTGAGTCCCATACAAGGACGAAACGTTCGTCCAGTGCTTCCATATTTTCTGTAGTGGTCCAGTTTAGACAGACTCGTGAATTCAACTTTGGAAGTACTATAATCTCTACGAATGCCCTTACTGATAATAAAGTTTTCTCAATTCTTCTATGTTTAAGAATTCATTTTTTCTATGTAGTAGTTATTTTTAATGCTTAAGGTGTAGATATATTTTTCTCATTTGTAAAATTATCTTTCGAACAGGAAATATCGAATTTCTGTAGTTCTCATATATTCTTTCCCAGTGGATGCACAAAAAACGCGTTGAGTCTTAGTGTTTATCTTTCGCTCTCGATTATTGATAACTATTTAATATGAACCGCCATATTAAATCATGCATCTAGATTGCCCTTTTGCAATCTTAAATAACAAGTCGATCAGCACTGAAGGCTAAATAAAATTACATTGTATACATTCATAATTTACATTAAAAGAAAACAAATATTTCGTGAGGATTTTTTTTCAATAATTTTATTACTAAAAACGGTACGATCATAGTTAGAAAATACGAAAATATAAGGCCAGTCAAGGACATTACAGTAAATGACTATAAAAATTGTTGGTGTACAGATTGGTTTGGTTTTATGTTGGATATCGCTAACGCTGATACAGTGCAAAAGTAATGTGTATACACACTGCAGTAAATCCGATTTAATCTTCATTTAATTACTTGAAAAATTCTTGAATCTTTCACTTTGTATTTTTGTCCTGAAGACTAAATCAGAAAAAGCGTTCATCGTCGAATGGCATTGCTAGTCACAGTCCAACTTACTGAAAGTTTGTGTGTATGATTATTCATTTCTTTATACGTAGTTTGCATGTAAGTAATTCTCTGATGCTTCTTATGAAAACCTTTATTTTCTGTCTATAACTTAAAATACTCAGTACTTCAATAACGTTTTAGACATCTATTCTGAAATATTTTAAAATTTTGTTGTTTCAGTGCTTCTTATCTAGATCATAGCTTTTAAATTCACTTAAGTCTATAGTCATCGTGATAATAAAGAATGCTGGGAAAATCATTAATTGTTCAGAAAGAGTTTTCTTCAGTTCATAGACTTGAAACTCTGTAACGATTATAGTTATACATTGATAAAATAATTTTAGAGAAAAGATAGAAATATCATTCGCTAGTACTTTTCAGTTGATTGATCTTGTTAAAATGAAAAGCAACTTCAGGTTAGAAAACGGTACAATGAACCATCAACCTGAGATATATCACTAGTCTCTTCTCTTACCTTATAGTTTTATCGGAAACTAGTTTGTATCTTAATATAATTGCGTTAGATTGAACATGTTGCTGAATCGCCCTAAATTAAAATCGCTGACGAGGTTGAAAAATTGACTTATCATATGAATTTAACTGGTCTCAGTAAAATAGTTGTGGTATACTTTAACGGTTGATTGTTTACACAAAATTCACCCCTATCCAAATCGTTAATCAGAATACCGAAAAATTTAGTCAATTACCTTGTATTACTTGTATTTTTCTAGACTCAAAAACTCATGTAATTATGATCACCAAATCAATGACCACAATACGCCATAAATAAGGAATTTCAGTAGATGCATAACTGAGATAAGTAACTGATTTATTGTCAATTAGTCTGCAGAGAATGCACATCTGATCGAGTACAGATCTAAACATCAATGGGACGATTTAAATAACCAACATACGTGAGTTAATTAATTATATTTTATAAGAAGCCAACATAAGCCTCAACAACTAACGAGTCAAAGGATTGCTTGTAATTAGTATAATTTATAAACTTCCCTGTATATTCTCCCATTTTTAACAGTTGAGATTCACGAATGTACTGTTATTAGAATAACATGACCACTAACCAGCAAAATAGATTTTTCTCTTAATAAGATAACATCCTGATATCCGAAATATTGGATACATAATGTAATCAAAATAGGCACTTTGGAGATTAAAATTTCATTGATCACTTAATCATAGGTAGGATAAACACTCTACTGTAAAGCTTGATTCTTCTCTGTCACATCAGTTTTCGTAAGTGTGATTATTTTCGGTATTCTGTGTTCAGTTGTATAAACTGTTGAATTGACTCAATGTCTCCATTTTACAGTGTTCTAAAACTTTATATCATATTTATTGTGTGTTTGATTACTATTAATCAAGTATGATCTTTTACATTTAACAACAAATTTGTACAAAAAATGTTAAACAGATTTATTATATCAGTAAAAACCTGTCACACTTCTCATTATATTTTTTATACACTTTTTTAAAATCACATCTGCTGTTTGTTTGTTTTCTTTTATCATGTAGATTCGGTGTAGCACTTCAGCTTTAAGTGCATATTTTCTTGATCATGAATCAGATCAGCTGTTTATTGTGGAAGTGTTAAAGATTGTTGAACAGATTCTGCAATCGTTTCGACAAGAAGAGAGGTAATCAGTTTGCTTAGTTTACTTTTCTAAGATGTAATTGCTATGTGTAGATAATAGTGGCTCTAGTGATATTTTCTAATCACCTTCGAAAACTCAATAATTATTACAATGTGCTAATGATCCAGTATTTGTATTCCCAAATATTCACTATTAGGTTGAAACTGCATTTCGCTCACTTTGGTTTAGGTATGTGGGCTTCATGCATACGATATCCCACAAAACCAAGATGGTGGATTCATCGTTGGTGACTTAGTGTATGAATTCGCTTGGCTTTGTCTAACTTGCCTCACTTGTGGCGTAGGAGAAATGTCCGTTTACCAACTAATAAACGAGTGCACTGTGCAGCGGTTTTTTTAATGATTGTAAAACGTGGCTTTTGAATATAATTGATATTCGTGGGTTACTGGTATTTGATTATAAATGCCTACAATGCATTCTTGTTGTATGTTGTGATCAACTATTGAGCGATGCTGTGGTTATACCCGGAGTACTGGTTAAAGAATACGAATCAGTTGTTGAAATAGTCAATGCTCATTGACTGAGATGGCTGAGGGATATTTTATGTCTGCCCAACTACCACCCAACTCGGTGCGATAGTGTTGGAGTTGATTTGGATAAAGCTGGAGTTGATCAGTTAAAATGTCATATCAGTGCACGGATTCATCGTCAGTTGGACTGAGCCATGTACGTAGATCTAGATTTTCTGGTTAAGGACTGCACGTTTATCATAGCCAGTAATTAGAGAGTTTTGGCGATATGTCTTTGAATCGTTCACGGTGGTGCTGACATATTCACTCTTTGTACTCGCTTTGATCCTGAGTTCCTATATTATCTTGCAATTCTTTATTATCATTCCACATTTTCATATATATATTTTTAATCATATCTTCTGTACGTAATCGTTCATGATATCACTGATGCTGTTACTATTTCTACAACCCTGAGATTTGTTTTGTTAATTTCATCTGGTTGTTCTGTGTTGTAGAAACTTAAATCGATGTACATATGTGGTAGGTTTTACGTTGAATTTGACTGACTGAGTGCGCATAATAGTATATCATGATTGAAGTGTTGATTGCTTTGTAAGATATATCTCGTGTACAGATGTTGATGATGTACCTACTAGAGCACTTCGAATGATAGTCTCTGTTGTGTCTTGTTGTTGGGGTTCCATACGGCCTACAGTGTCACGGATTTAAGATCAAAGACGACTGAGCTTCTCTAATACGATCGGTTCTCTTCGGAACTGACAACAGTCAATTATGTTCAACTTTAAAACCTCGACGGTTAAGACAGGAATAAAACGGAATTGCAGGTAACTTTATATTTGTGTTAAAACAATCAACTCAAACGAAATTAATACAAAAGTTGTTACCATATTAGCAGAATATGACCTTTGAGCATGTAGCAATTTAGCAAACAAAAAAAACATGACAATCAATCCGGTCATGCAGAAAATCGAATTGGTAGAACGTATGCGAGCGGTTATCGTTCCAGAAGAGATCTTTGCCTTCCCAATAAGATCTGACTATTCTTGCAACCGCCCTAGCTGTTTCTCTTTGAAGTATTGATTAAACTTGGTGTATATTGATGTAGGATTTCAAAATACCGAAAGTCTGATATGTTTTCAGTTTTTTGAATTGTGAGCTGTCTTACAATACAATAATATTTGAATGGTTTTATTTACTATTTTATTCATAGGATTGTTATTCCTCTTTTTAAATTTTTGGATTTTTTACTGAATGATCCGATTGTCAACTCAACAGTTGATCCAAACAGGTAAGTGTGTCATTGTTATATATATAGTATTGTTTAATTATTCATTCTTTCATTTCCAAGTAAACATATCCTTTATGATTTATTGTGCATTCGATGCTTCGTTACTGAAAATTATTTTCATAATAAAATAATATCAGAAAAGCCACAAATGACTATGGATTACTGGTCAACTACTTTTCCATAATTCGTGACTCCTCATCAACGATTACCGAAGATTTTACGGTGTCGAGTACAGAACTTTGAGGTTTCACAGAAAACATAAAGCCTTTATAACCTTTGGTCTTGTATTCTATGCTAATAGTCACTGTTGTCCAGACAATGTAAAGACACCCGTCCAGTGATTCGTGGTGTTTATTAGTTTGACGTCACTTCATAATGAAAAAAATTTAAAATCTATGAAGTTCTTCGAAATATTAACCAACTTATACTTCATTATTACTAAGAGAGGTTCGAAGAACTCTACTAATATATTATCTGAAACGCATACTTTCTTGAGCGAAAATGGTTTATTTTCTTAGGACATTACATATGCATTGGTGTAAGGGAATTGGAAATGAGATAAGTATATGAATATAAATTGAAAATTGCAATAACATACTATTGGTATATTCAAGGCTATACCACTTCCTTAATGTAGAGTACATTCACTAAATATACTGTTAAATAGTACTTTTATAACATATACATATTATCTATATACTGTAATGTTAATGTTGAAATTATTTTGGAAACTGTTTTCATTATTTTATCATCATTACAACAAATAAAATTATTAGTTTGTGTTTGCTTTATTGGTTATAATTACATTATGCGTATCATTTATCTGAAATCATAAACTAATCTGCATGCCAAATTAATGGATAGTCAATAAGTTTTGAACTTATCTAGTGTCATTTTATTACCTTTGACCCGTTGCGTTTATCATCCACATTGTAAGTATAAGCACCAAAGGTTTGAGTTGGTAATTTCAAATAAATTAAGCATTGAGTAAAATGTTAATCATAGAATAATAATGTATTTTTGATATCCCAATGAATAAAAAGTAGAAATTCTAAGGGTTCATGATTTATTGTAAGCCACTTCTTCAATGTAAATTATTAGTGAAATTTGATTTTTTTTATTAACTCTGAAGAAGGGGTTTACAATATGCCGGGAACCGTCAGAATTTCTAATTTCTGCTCATTAAGATATTTCAAGTGTCATTCTTATTACTTCCATCACTATTATTGTTATCAGTAGTAGTATTACCATCATTTTTGAATTATTATGAATACCACTTGTTTTTCATCCACCTGGGCTACAAATCTTCACCATCTCAACTCTACGTGTTGATAAATGGGATTTATATATCTTTTTGTTTATTTTTTGTTATCCTGTCTGTACAGTCCAATTCTTTTACAATTAACGGAAAGTGTATGGAATGAAACCAAACTAAATAAAGATGTACAACGTATTAAAGCTGCTATCGATGTGTAAGTCATTAGTGTTTAACTGCTTAAAAAGGACATTAAAAAGGTGCTTTAAAACAGCACTAAACTGATTAAGTACAGTTTTTAGCATTTGGTATTTATCTTGTTAATAAAACCCGATACATTTTGATGTTGTAAGTTTTATGAGATTTTTATTATTATTGAAGATAATAATTAAGGGAATTTAGTCAATATTTTATGCATATAGTCATATTTGCCTGCAAAATTAGTTTCTTGTCAGTCAAAACCGAATAAAGCTGTTTGTTTGTTTGTTTGTGTGTGTGTGTGTAATTTATAGACCAAGTGGTCTTACGCGGAAATCGACAATAACGGCATAACTCCACCAGTATGCTAATATCATGTACTTTATGTTCTAGTATTCGGGAGTTTTATATCATTAATTACTTACTTACCTACTTACTTACGCCTGTTACTCCCAATGGAGCATAGGCCTCCGACCAGCATTCTCCAACCTACTCTGTCATGGGCTTTCCTTTCTAGTTCTATTTAATCGCTGTTCATTCTTCGCATGTCTGTCTCCATTTCTCGACGTAGTGTGTTCTTTGGCCTTGAGTATTGCAAGTGAGGGCTTTTCTTGTGACACAGTTGGTTGCTTTCCTCAACATGTGTCCTATCCACTTCCAGCGCTTCTTCCTAATTTCTTCTTCTGCTGGGATCTGGTTTGTTCTCTCCCACAGTAGGTTGTTGCTGATAGTGCCTGGCCGACAGATCCGAGCTATTTTGCGTAGGCAACTGTTAATAAACACTTGTATCTTCTGGATGATGGCTTTCGTAGTTCTCCAGGTTTCCTCCCCATACAGTTGAACTGTGTTGACATTTGCATTGAAAATTCTGATCTTCGTGTTGGTTGACAGTTGTTTTGAGTTCCAGATGTTCTTCATTTATAAATATGCTGGTCTTGCTTTGCTGATCCGCGCCTTCACGTCTGCATCAGATCCACCGTGTTCATCAATGATTCTGTTCAGATATGTGAAGGTTTTTACATCTTCCAAATCGTCTCCGTCAAGTGTGATTGGATTGTTGCATGTTGTGTTGTATCGGAGAATCTTGCTTTTCCCTTTGTGCATGTTGAGCCTTACTACTGCTGAGGCTGCTGCTACACTGGTCGTCTTCTCCTTCATTTGTTGTTGCGTGTGCGACTTTAAATGTAATGGTTCACACAATAAAATAACACTGTTCTTGAATTTCTCATACAATATAGATTTGATTTTACATATCAGGACATTTATTTATTTTTTTTTACCTATATGTATGTAGATTTGGTGGGATGTTACAATTCACTGGGCCTGTTCGAAAGCGATCTCTATCGTTAATGATGGTCATGTTGGGATCTCGTTACCCAATTGCAGGTTTGACATGAAGTACTGTTTAATTAATGGTAGTGTATCTGTAAATGTATTTTGAATTCACATGTCATTATTTAAATGGTTACTACTTTTAAATTTAACCAATTGTTTTATCAATTAATACTATCGTATGTATTTATTCAAATAATCAGATGGAATGTAGTTATATGGTTGTTATTCTTTGCCCATATAAAGCTTTTCGAAAAAAGCATTAATGTACAGAAAATATTGATTTTCTTTTCAACTAACTATAAAGAAAAATGAAAGACAGTTTGGCGAAGAAACTTTTCTCTTCCACGATATTGTTAACCGAAGCTGTAAAGTCGTATTTATAGATAATGTTTACAAGTAGTAGTTTATAATGTCACATGTTGCATCATCATCATGGTAGTATAAGAGACTAAACATATTTGGTCTCATTAAGTCGAAGGATAAACTAAGTTTACTTTCAATCAGAGAAAGTTACATGAACTTGTACACAATGGCATCGATCTATACACTCTTTGTCGTCCATTAAGCTATGAGATTAAAATTTCTTCATATCTTTCTTTCTACGAACTAATACTTTCTTCCTGTATTATTTCCTTATAGGAAATCTTTATTTTATATTTTACCAGCACTACTTCTATGAATCCAGTGTTGATCTTGTTGTACTTATGAGGTATGGCAACTTGAAACGACGCATATATGTGCCTGGTCCTACGTTGTAGCTGACTGACTGACTGTGAGAATAACGCAATTGACATCAGAATTGAAAACCTCGGGAAATATGTAACAGAAAAAGCCAACCACCTAGGTTCATCGACGAAGATCTGAAGCCAAGACGGCTACTTGAGAGATTTTCAATAGTACCAAAGTTCCTCTACATCACTGTTCATTCCAAAAAACAAATTTAGCAGATATTCTTAAAAATAAACTTTCAAGAGCTTTGAGAAACACAATTTATTTGGTTGAACTTCGCATTGCTTTCTCTAGTTAACTTTTTATTCAGAGTTGCATAAGAAACAAGCTCTTGCTCTGGGTCACATTAATATGCGTAAGTTAATTTGGTCTTATGGAACAGATTGTATAGGTTGTACAAAGCAAGCTACTTTGAATGTATGTTTTGCCTGGCTTACCGTATGTTTACACATATCAATCAACATTGTAATCAAAGAACATCTTGGAAATTTTGATCAAGTTCATTTTCTAGAACCTTTTTTCACAATCATTTATATAGTTAAAAGAACTGGCTGTAAATGAATACAAACTAAAAATATGTATATAATAAGAGCTCTAACAATTCAATGACATAACACACTATTTTGTAAACTGCTATTTGCTCTAATTAACTCTAAATACTATTGTACATCTTAAGTAGATGATATCGTTAAAAAAATCATTTTCTTGCCTGAATTGTCTTTTTATTTTTTCTGTGCTGATTATCCCACAAGCACAACGTTAACGCTGGTAGCAGAAATGTTAAATGAAGACAAATTACACTGTGATGTTTTAAAAGTTGATTTCATCTTATTGTTAATAATCTCTTTTCGGACACATACACTCTCTGTTCAGTATTTTGTATAATAATACTTATTTTGAATTAACTTCCTTTCGTTGAAAAATTCAGATTCGTAAGACAACCGCAACAGAATTGTATGAAGGTTTACTGGTTTATGAGTTATGTTCATCTGAGTTATTAGATCAAGTATCATCCATACTTACTGAAACCATCTGGTGAGTTTTTATGTTTATATACACATTTTTCTTATTATTTATTTTCTTGTGGAAATGATATGGTTGGATTTATGTTGATATTTGTATATTTGTCTTGTTTAAAATCAACGTGTATACTTGTACCTGGGAAAAACCCGTTAATTTCAACTTAGTATGCATGGCTTTAGACAATGACGATTAATTTTTAGATAATTGTGTTAACCTTCACTGGCTCAGGTGCATGAGTGATGTGTGTTGGACGATTCACCACCCATCACAATTTGCCACCTTTGACAAATTTGGCTCAATTTAGAAAATATTGTGTTGAAACATGTCAGTAATTTATATAATCACATATCTATTTTCAGTTATTTAACGAAGCTCATATTCTCTAAGTGCTGTCAGCGAGATGTCACAAATTTGTGGTTAGAAGACGTTTGTATTGACATTCGCTACATTTGTACAGATCTATCCACTTATTGCTCTGTGTAATTCCTAAATATTTAGTTACTTTTCGTTTTGTTTCCTGTTTGGGCCTGTGGTTTGTACCATGTTCATATATACATACATTCTAATTTTTCCTCATAGATATAATAGTTTGTCTTTGTCACTACTTTTATTGATAACTTTGGTTTAACGATTGTGTTTTTCTTTCGACTAAGAAAAATTTCCTATTGCTTTCTAAATTCATCAGGGAAGGTGATATTGAAGTAGTCAGACCAATTCGTAATCAACTTTGTGAATTATTTCAAGTTCCTGTACCAAGAATAGCGAGTAACACTCAGAACCATACATCACCAGCTTGAAAAGTTTATGGAATGAAGCTTCTAATGCAAATATAATCTACGAGGATTTGTTTCATACAAATGTGAATATATATAACAATATGAAGAAAATATAATTTTATTTAATTGTAGTAATGTTATTTAATATTCTGCATTATTTATTTTCGTGTTTTGAAACAATTCGTTGTTTTTTTTATTGTAATGTAAATACTTCATTGTTAATAATGATTGCTAAGCAAGAATTTTCAATGTATGTTACTCGGTCATATTTGTTTTAGTTATCGAAATACGTCAAGTTAAACTAATGTTCTTTGATAAATAAGATCGGATTGATTATTAAGGATGGATTTATGTCTATTAATTAAAATGTAAAGTGTAACTAGACGTTGATTATTTTATTGATATGATTCGTTGTGTGATTAGTTATAGATGCTAGAGTTTGTCAAGTTTAATAAGCTGGGACCGAAAGTAACCTTAGAAGCGCTACAGGCAGGATAGTGCAATATACGTCCGCTACATAAGTTGCTTGGTGTATCTTGAATAGTACATCCAAGTTACTCAGCTGAAAATTTTAATTATGAAATTAATTTTCTCCAAATTGTTGAAAATAAAAATGAAAGATAAATTGCTACAAGCTTTTTTATGAAGTGGATGTAATCAAATTATGCTAACCATCCAGTTATTTTAGTTGTAGAAGAGTGCTAGCAATTCAAGTGTGGAGCATTTTACTTATTATAACATGTATAGAAACTGTGATTTTTAGGTATTTGTATTATACTGTTGTTGGCATTCAGAGTTGATTTTTCATTCCATTGTTGGAATATGTGCATTCTGACAAGATTATATCGATATAAGTTTGTTCTTACAACTCTCGGGATGAAGTTACTAATCCGTCTTTATCCGGGACTGGCAGTAATCCTGAAAAGATACTAAGCGAAATTGCTTTTCTTTTAAACAACCTAACAGTCCTAAAAGACTGCTACAGTTTGAAATACATTCGGATATTAGTCCCTGATAACATAAGTTAATTTATTTAGGGCTTTCACCATTTCTAGACCTTACTATAATACATTTAACTAATTACTCTTCGAACGAGTTATGTTTTTCACTAATATCAGGATACCATTTAAGTAACACCACTCATAGCCCTATAGAATAGAATGTCGTTTCGAGCTTTTTCCTAAGTATAGTGTTTATGATAAAGTTCATTTTTGCATTGTTTGCTGTAAAAGTAAATTTATACAGTCGTATTTTAATCTTCATAGACATAATGACAGTATAAATTAATACGATTTCATTTTCATACTAAAAATCCAATGCTTAGTGTTTACATAATTACTCCGAAAATTTCTTTTTTAATTATTTGGAATGGGATTGATATGTAGTTAGTTTATCAAACTTTGATTGGACATGCTGACAATCATATAAAAAGCAGCATATTAATCATTTGTAATATTTGTAGTTAATAGGCTAACAAAATATTAGAAATATCTCACTAAACTGTGCAACCCTTCAGAATAATTAAAGAACCTATTAAAAACAACTCGTAAATTCATATCGCTTTAGTTTAGTTTGATCAGTGAGTTAGTGAATATATATCACGATTTATACAAGTCTCTTGTTTGTTTATTGTTTCATTCAATTTACCGAAACATTTCATGTTATTAATCTAATCAAATATTTATGTTAATGAAAAACAAGGGATACACAAAGAAATCTCGTTGATGACATTACCTATTTAATACTTGTAAACTACAATAAATATTATTTGAAGTTCTTTTGGAAAATATACGTAATAATTAATCCCTTGTATTTGGCGTAGTTCGTCAGTTACAGGAAGTATTGTATAAAGTTGTGAAATTTTTCCTACAACTGTAGCATAATGCACATATTTACTGTTTTTCACTTTACATTTCACCATCTTATTGAGTTTAAAATCTATGTAATTTAAATGTGACCAGTGATTTTGAACAATTCTACTACCATGATTTTAAATAAATTTTATTCGACTACTAGTTTTCTATCACGACTTACTTCAACAGTGCACCAGTGTAAATTACTGAGAAGAATAATAATGTACCATGATCCTAATCGTTTATGTTTAGTTTATGCGATCAGGAAGCTAATTTCCAGACAAGTGTTACAATGAAACAGTGAGATTATACCAAAATAAGTTAGTATCGTCACTATCTTTACTTTTCGCTACAGATAACGGTTAATTATTCATGATGGTTAGTGTTAATTATTGATCAATCTACCTAAATGCGGACAATTCGTTTTCACTTTATAATACAGTAAAACATTAGCTTCATATGTAGTTCAAATGAGTAACAAACTACACTTAAACACACTTTTTTTGATAGTAATTTCTAATATGTTGATACACAGTCTGTAACTGTACTATAAATAATATCTAGACAACTATATAAGTACTTCAGGTTAGTAGTAAAAATTCAGCCCCCGAACGCCCTGGTACGGCCGAGAGTGGGGAGAGTCCGCTCTCCCTCTCGAAATATTCTCACACGGCCGCGCGTATACAGCCTCTGCCAGGGAAGTACTACTCATTGCCTTCTCGTGGCTGGGGTGTTGTTTACGAAAATCAGAGGACGAAAAGCGAATGCCCGGCGCTTTAACCGGGTCACAAATCAATGGTGCACATGGGCTCCAGTATCCTGCGGGAACGAATGGCGTATGAACCAATCGTTGGTCACCGGCTACCATGGGACTGCATCTCCTTACGATGCTCCACTGCCTTGTGGGTTAGACCTTTAGGTCAAAGGCTCGGGGAGTGGCCCCCTAAGATAACCACCTGCTTCGGTTTGGGCAATCGGGCAGTATCATAGCCCACACACAAATGATGAACTTTCTATGCCTATGGAAATTACTTTTCTCGATTCGAAAAACAATCAATTGATTCAAATTATTATCATTACAATTATTGTCATTATTAATACTATTATTATTACTACTACTATTATTGTCATTATTATCATTATTATTATTTTCCACATTATTCACCCTCTTTTATACTTACACAGCGGCTCGTCTTTGGTGGAAATTCGACTGTATCTAAACGTTCTCGAGTCACTGTTCGGTTGAAAATTGTATGTTAACACCGAATACTAGGACTGAAGCGGTTTTTCTGAAACCACGTGCATCATTCAAACTGGCTGCCTTCAACGTTCGCACATTTATGCAGGTCGGACAACAGATAGGGCTGGCTATTTCTTTGGAAAGTCTTAATATTGATGTTTGTTGTCTATCCGAGACCCGTATTCAAGACTCTGGCGAAGTACTACAAATTCGATCTCCATCTGTCGCTTCGAAAAGCTTGTTTTACGTGCGCTTATCCGGGGACCCTATGGCATCTTCGTCTAGTCTTGCTGGCGTTGGTGTCGCACTAAGCGCTAGAGCTGAGGCAGCAGTAGTCGATTGGATCCCCAATAACAGTCGGTTATGTGCTGTTAGATTAGAAAGTTCCATCAAAGTGAGAAGAATTTGGCGTGAGAAACGATGTCTTTTCGTCATCTCCGCCTATGCCTTGACAGATTGCAGCCCGGATGCAATCAAGGATGAGTTTTACCACCAGTTATCTGTTCTTCTCCAGAAAGTGCGTTCGACAGATATTGTGGTACTAGCCGGAGACTTGAATGCTCAGGTCGGGCATCTAGGCACAGAAGAGAGTCGTTTAGGTGGCCGATGGGGACTCGTTGGTCGCAGGTCAGATAACGGGGACCGTCTACTGCAACTGTGCACAGACCACAACCTGTTTCTGGCTAGCACTAACTTTCGGCACAGTCATCACCGATGTGCCACCTGGCGTCCTCCCTCTGCATCTCAAGCCTGGACTCAGATTGATCACATCGCGATCAGCTACCACTGGTGTGGTTGTGTACAAGACTGCCGCTTCTTTTGGAGTACCTATCTGGACTCTGACCATGCCTTGGTCTGCGCCAATCTTACCTTACTTTTCAGTGGACAACGAAGTGACCGCCATCAACGGATTGATATTAGCAAGCTGGTTGCAACTTCTGTTGCAAGTAAGTATCGAACCGAGCTAGTTTCTAGGCTAGCTACCACTCCACCGAAAAGTATAGATGAGCATTGGTTACAATTGCATGACGCCATGAAAATGGCGGGTACAGTCAGTTGTGGGTTCGCGAAACGTCACGCTTATAATCACTGGGTTTCTGCAGGTTCCTTACAACTCATTGAAGCCCGTCGGTCTACTCCGAGTGCCCGTTAGTTTGACCACAAAACGAAGGATGTTACGTAAGGAAATTGGGCAAAGCTTGCGTAAGGACCGAGAAGCCTGGTGGTCGAAGCGTGCTAATGAGCTGGAAGCAGCAGCTGCATCTGGTAACTACCGAAAGCCCTTCCAACTCATTCGAGCCACTGGCAGCAAGAAGTCTGGTGTGAGTGAAACAATCTGCGAGGATGATGGGATGCCAATCACTAACATCCACCGACGTCTTGGACGATGGGCAGAATTTTCCGAAGGGTAGTTCAACTGGCCTGCTGCTCCGGCAAGATCGGTCAGACTGTCCTGCCCTCCATGGCCGGTGACGACTGATCCACCAAACGAGGAGGAAGTCCACAAGGAACTCCAACTCTTGAAGCGCTACAAATCATCGGGCCCAGATGACTTACCTCCGGCCCATTTTAAAGATGGTGGTGACATTCTGACTAAAGAACTGACGACGTTGTTTACAAAGGTCTGGGAACTAGAGAGAGTGTACCAACGTCATGGAATGAGTCGATAGTTGTCCCTATCTTTAAAAAGGGTTCACGTCGTTCTTGTAGCAACTATCGGGGGATAAGTTTACTTCCGATTGCGTCCAAGCTATTGGCTTCCGTCATTCTTCGTAGGTTGTTCAAAACCCGAGAAAGATTGACTCGCGAGGAGCAGGCTGGGTTTCGTTCTGGTCGAGGATGTATTGATCATATCTTCACCCTCCACCAAATGTTAGAACATCGCCATACTTTTCAAAGGCCAACCATCGTAGTGTTTCTTGACATCAGGGCTGCCTTCGATTCGTTGGATAGGACTGTTCTCTGGGATTGTCTATTGAAGAAGGGTGTGCCTGAGAAGTTTATTAACATCCTAAAAGCCCTATATACAAACACCTCAGACAGAGTGAGGGCATACAACCACCTCTCTCCATTGTTCCATTCGAGTAGTGGGGTTAGGCAGGGTTGCCCAATCTCACCATTCCTCTTCAACTTTGCCATCGATGACATTCTGGAAACAGCTGTGATGGATGTAAGTAATGGTGGTGTGGATCTGTTGCCTGGAGAAAGACTTCTCGACCTTGAGTATGCGGACGATATTGTCTTACTGTGCGATAATGCCCAAGGCATGCAATCCGCACTTAATCAGTTGGCAATCAGTGTCCGTAGGTATGGTATGTGCTTTGCACCTTCGAAGTGCAAAGTACTTCTACAAGACTGACAGGATTCTAATCCTGTACTCATCCTGGATGGTGAGCAGATAGACGTAGTCGAGAAGTTCGTGTATCTGGGTAGCTGCATAAGTGCTGGTGGGGGTGTGAGTGATGAGATCAATGCACGAATAGTGAAAGCCAGAGTGGCTTATGCCAATCTGGGCCACCTTTGGCGCCTTCGTGATGTTAGTCTGGCTGTAGAAGGTCGGATCTACAACGCGTCGGTGAGAGCAGTTCTGCTCTATGCTTGTGAAACCTGGTCTCTCCGAGTTGAGGATGTTAGACGACTCTCTGTGTTCGATCATCGCTGTCTCCGAAGGATTGCTGACATTCAGTGGCAACACCATGTCAGTAATGCAGAGGTTCGGCATCGTGTGTTCGGGCACAGAGATGATAACTCAATTGGTGTTACCATCTTGAAACACCGACTTCGGTGGCTTGGACATGTTCTCCGAATGTCGTCCCAGAGAATTCCACGTCGTGCATTAGTTGCCGACTCTGGGACTGGTTGGAAGAAGCGGAGAGGTGGTCAGTGCATGACATGGTGTCGTGGCATGAAAGAAAGCTGCAAAGGACTGGCTTGTGTTGGTCCTTCACGACTCCCTGGTTGGGGTCTGAGAGATGGTGCTACACAGTGGCTAGAGACGTTATCAGATATGGCTCAGAATAGAAGCCAGTGGCGATCCTGCTGTAACCTTCTTTTACTTTCTTCATAAAAAGTGGTTGTGTCTCCTTTACCTGAAAGATTTCTTCTGATTGTACCTTTTCGTTCCGTCGTTACTACCACACTACCTTACTCCAATCTCTTCGTCATTGTTCTCTTTTTCTTTTGCGTTCCTTAGTTTGTTTGTTTTTTTCTTTCTTTCTACTTCTCTTCGAATTCTCATTGTTTTGTGTGGCGCATATATATTGGCGTTCTCTTGTACCAATATTTATGTGTTCAAATAAATAAATATGAGTAGAAATTCAATGGTTTCATTCATTAAATCAACTAAGAGAATAAGATTGGATTTAATCATGAATTACAATTTATTAAATAGGTTTTATATTCTTCTGAAAATATGTAATAAAGATAATCCCATTCTGGATAGATCAGTATTTACGGACATGAAGTTTTTAACAACATCAAATAGTGATACAAGTAGTTAATCCAAAAAAGAAGTGATACTTTACAGTATTTCATTATTTTCTTTGTATTCAATTAATTGATAACTTATATATGGGGTCAATTAGAACTGACATTTATTAAATATCCTTCTTATTGCTTTTGTTTCTTTGAAGAATTCGTGCATCTTTTTTAGTATCTTGATCTTGTTGATTCACAGCAGTACTGTTATCTTGATGAGTAGACTGATTAGTTATGTATAATTCATCTTTTTCCATATTCTTTATGACAGGATCTGTTGACAGTTTATTAGTTTCTAAAATATTGTCACTTTGTTGTTGGTTTTGCGTATTTCCTAGACAAGCTTTAAACAATTCTCTGTCTTCTAAACCATAAATAACAAAACTCCATGTTCCCTTAATTCAAATAAAAAGATAATTTAAAGTGTAGTCAACTAATTTACAGATGATTCGAATATTAATAACGTCGTTTAGTTAATAACATATATAAAGTGTGTATGACAACAGTTGCTTTACGTTTCAAGACTTTTCGATGCATAGATAGGATAGGATGTTCTCTACGACCAGTGAATTCGTAGTTTCATTCACTGACTGAACATAGCTAGACAGCTACTGGAAGCGAGAGAGCGTTGGTCAACTGCTTTATCACTAAATACTCCTCAAGAATTGGATATTGACGATTCATCGAACCTGTTGTATGGGGTTTACCGGTTTTTTATTTCTAACTTCAATTAGCTTATTACATTAGGTGATTGTTCACTGTTGTCAGTGATCCTCTCTCAGTAGAATTGAAGAAGAATTGCGTAAATTCATTGGTTCATTTTTACAAAAGTGGTCAACTATTACATAAGTATATCGTTGTTTCTCCATTGAGACATTTTTATTAGCTTACTTTTAAATTTATACTTCCATAATTTTTATGGAACTTATTAAATAATATAACAGCTATAAAATTGTTTCATCAACATACTGCCTAGTTGGCCCTATAAACTTTACTAATCAACAAAATTCTTCAAGAACATAATAAAAGTATGTAAATATGGACAAATGTTTCTTCTTGTTTTACTAAACTCACCTGTAAAGAGACAAGGGCGAATGCAATAAAAACTACATACGGTATTGTCACTTGTATTACAACAAAAAGTAGACTCCAAGTTATGAGATAGTACAATAATAATGAATTCAGTTTCTTCACACGTGTGCTAATTGAGAATAGAAAATTTTATAAACAAATAAATTGTATTAAAATTTAATTATGAACCATGGAAAATTAACTTTTTGTATGTATCTAAGAGTATTGTCACAATAGATTTATTAGTGATATGGATCATTGAGTGGTTGACTGTGAAGTGTTCATTATTTTCCTAGACAAGATCATTGACACTAAATATTGTATTAAAAAGAAATTCTATCTGATACGCTATCAAACACGAACATTTCTTGTTTAGATTATAGACTTGTGGATTAACGCTTAAAAATTTTACCTCGGAAACCAAGTAGCTGTAAGAGGTAATATGAAAAATAAATTTTAAAACTGTATTTTATTATTAATATATTTGTTATTGAAGATAGGAACATAAGTGTTATATCTTCAGCTTCACATAGTTTTGATCACTTTCTATTAATTGACATACAGTTATACTTTTATAGCACCAATGTTTTGACGAGCTACTGAGTGATATCTACCTGTAAAAACTTTCGTAAGACATTAGATCAACAGTTTCGTATTAGAGAAATTTCGTTCATTTGTCCGTGTTATATTACATTCTTGATTTTCATATAGTATAGAGAGCATATTCAGAACAAGGAGTCTGTCATATTATTTACAAAGCAAATATGTAATAGTAACAATAAAATTTGGTTGTGAAGGTTCTGACTAAAGTTACAATTATTGACCAATCGGTTCACTGGATCCATTCAGTACACAGCTGCGTATGTATTTATACTTCAAAATTAGTCGAAGCTATGACAAAATAGCTGTTGAGGGATCCTTGATTTCAGAGTTAAGTAGTTTGTTCCATGGAAATTATATGCTTAAACCTCATTATTCATTAGGATAACTTTGATGAATTTCCTCCTTTTTCGGAAATTTCATTTAAGTCTATGGTAAGTAAAGCTATAGTGTTTATGAAATAAAACACACCAACTCTTTTAATTGAGGATTCTAATTAAATTACATCTTGTCGTCTTGTCTGTGAGTACTTTTTCTCAAACTACTACCTACATTTTATGTGACAATTTATAATGTTTCATTTCAATACACCGAAGTCTTTTCTTAACTATATTTTTCTAATTTTGAATCGTACAGTTTCGTCATACACACTTGTCGCCTTAGAATTCGACTGTTTAAAATGAAATGGATGTAATTAGTTTAATCCGAATTTATGAAAGTGCTGTAAGCTTTTACTATGCTTAATTAATGTACTTTACTTATGTTAAAAGGAAAAAACTGAAAGGATTATTTATTATATTATTATTCACTGATATAATAATAATTATACAAACCATCTACTATACTTCATTAAGAAAATGGCTATAGTTTAACCTATAAATTAATGTATCATAAAAATAAATGTTGAATATTATAAACTTACAATAGTCTATCAAGTATCTTTGGCGGTAAAAATGCTGGTGTTTCTAGATTGCATGTTAACGTAAAACATACAATTATATTAATAATTGTATAAGCAAACATTGAACCGAACATAATCCAAAATTCTAATGATTCATTTGCTGGTAAACATAGTAAATCACCACCGTGTGAGTTTAACTTCGATATAACTGCCGGTATTAAAACTAATGAAACTGGTATAACAATACCTGTAATCCATGTCCAACAATAAGTTAATTTTAATTGACCTAATACAAAACTTTTGAATAGACTTATTGCTTCGTTTGAAAGCCAACTTGATACAAGTATAGCAAATAGATTTAAGGATACACCAATAGCTTGACATGGTATCTGATATTGGTTCATTAATGGTTCAATCAATAAAGTAGCATGAAATCCTATTTGACACAAACATAAGCCCATACGTGTCAAACAGATATCTGGTATACTAGCCTTCTTCCATACAGTGATCAAAGTAAGAAGAAATATTATTGAACATGTCAACGATAGACCATTCCCTCCAAAAATAATAATATTCATCAACATGGTACATTCTGATTCTGATTTTGTACCCCATGCTTTCCATATTGGTACGCTTCTATAAGGTGCATCTTCTGATTCCATTGCTACAGCGTATAGACTTAAATGATTACATGAACATTGCACATGTGTTTTAGTAGATTTAATAATTTGACAACCATCTGTATTCCATGCACCATTTATATCTAACTGATCATCCCAATATACACAACGTATTTGATTGGCTAATACTCCTTCATTATATTTTTCAGAGTTATATGCCATCCATTTCATACGCCAAGTTGTTTCATAATAATAAACACTTTGATATTTATTCAAATGTAATAATGGTACTGTATAATTGAGTTGAATTGTCATATTACTATTAACACTATTGCTTAGTGTCTTATATAACTGATTTTCTGCATAAAATTCAACAGAATACAATGGACTTGCAATAAAAAATAAAAATGGTGTATTCGATTGTAAAGTATTATTCTTATATAACGTTTTCTGTTCATTAGCAATATAATTCTGTTGATATTGTGTATTAGTACTAAATTTATCTAATGGAATATCAGCAATCTTCAAGTTTTCATTATTATTACTTAGAATAGTTAAAATTGTCAAAGCTCCATTCCATTGTATATTCTGTTGATCATCATTAAGATTAGTTTTAATTTTAAATTGAGAATGATAAATTTCATTGCCTGAATTTGTTAAATGGGATATATTTAACATTAAAGGATTCTTATTATCCAATAAACAATTATTATCATCATTATAATTAGTATTAGTATTATTCAATTGAAAACTTAATGAATAACTAGCTACATTCATTTTTCTTAATTTTCTCAATGTATAACATGAATTTAATTGACTATATTCATTGATATTTGAAATAAATAAAAATATTCTATTTAATTCAGGTAATAATTTATTATATTTAATGATGTTATCTTGTAATAATTGTAACCATATTGGTTTAAACTGTGATGATAATAATTGATTTATTAAATTGATTATTATGTAATGAATATTTTGTTTTATTGAATTAATTTCATTAATTAATGATTGATCTATAGTATTTGTAAATGTTTCAATTGTTTTAAACCATGAGTGTATTATATTCATTGTAGATGATAAAACATTTAAAGCAAATGATATATCATTGTTTTGATTATTATTATTATTATTATTATTATTGGAAATAGTTTCTTAAGGGTTATACATCTTTAAAAGGTTCATACTAATTTGTAAAACTTTCATAAAATCTGATGGATAAATAAGTTTATTTGCTTGATTTGCCATTCGAATAAGATTTGACTGGAAATAATATAGAGAGGAAAAAAATAAATAAATCATTTCGGTGTTTTTTTCTAGAACTTTTGATGTTTTTTTTAAAATAAATAAATAGAAGTACCGTTTTTCTGAATTCTGTTTACATAACTCAAATAAACTATCTATCTGTGTTTACTATAACTCGTATAATCATTATATACGTATTATATTAAGTTGAGATGTTAAGATACAGGTTTATTGACTATTAGATCCTAGTGAATTCTTTTCATATATATGTTAGTCTTTTTTTATTTATCTATGTGTTATTTCATTTGCGATGAAACTATAATTTATGGACGACCTTTAAGCGACACCAAAGTGACCTTGAGAGTGTTCACCTAACAATTAGGACCAAATGAGGGTTATAAACCAGTGTGGAAAATTAGAATTATGATTTACAGTTGATTTAGAGTTTTCATCACGAATTGACATAAGCTATAATGCCAAAACTCTATTTAACCAAATAGATAAATGAATTTCGCGTCAAAATTTGAGACCTGTTATCTACCTGATTAGTTCGTCCATAGATTATTGTTTCACTCGTTTGCTAGTGGGTTTAAATAGTTTTAAAGTCTCTGAAAGTGAAGTAAACCCTTATACAACATATATATTTCTGACCATACAAAATATGCTTATTTTTTCGTTCTAACTAGTTAATACTTCAGCTGTATAAGCTACTCTCTATATCACTTTAAATATAGGTAATTGTTTCGTTGTTGTGCCAACACTAATGAAAATATTGGATGACCAGCTGTTAAGATGTACAGAATAACTGATATTTCTGTTCATTCTAATATATTTTTTGATCGTACCATGTATTTACATAGCCGATAACTGAATAAATGTAACTGGACAAATTTTAAAAAAATCAATCATTCAATAATAGGGTATGTAATATATTCAGAAGAGTTCTTAATATTATCGGACTACAAAAGGTAGTTCTATGGAGTCAACCATGATGGAAGTGGAATAGTAGCTTATCAGTGACATTGAATGTTGACGGTATTACATTAGAAAGTAACTTATGTTAATAGTATAAGTCTGTTCGATATCGAGTCAGAAGACGTTAAAGTGCTTTACAACCCAAAAGACTTGTATCCATACGGTCACTTCCGTATATGGTTACAGTCACACGATATAATTAATTATCAAAGTACAACAAAGATGTTTATTTCACCTCGGTTACCAATGATTTCCTAGATTATCTTGATTCTTAACAAATATTATTTTTAATACTTTTATTAAGACATAAGTTTCAGTATTAAATAGGTAGAGGAATTTGTCAGTAAACTCTTTTCGATCTAGTTTTCGCACTAATCGACATTCATCAATAAGGTATAACTTCATACTTTATGGAACTATTGCACCCTCTAGAATTTGAAATTTCATCACTCAGTGAAATAAGTTTTCTTCAATTTAAATAGAGAGAAAGGGAATAAACTTAAAATGAACGAAAAATACTCACTAGTGTTTCATCCATACACACGAGACCGTCAACTTGTTTACAACCTTGCATCATAACGCATGTAACTGTTTCTGGTATGTCATTATCACTTTCACAATCTCCAAGTAAGAATTTTTTTGTTTTTCTAGGCTTTGAACAACTGATAACATTTTTGCTTTCCCAATATGCTGAAAAAAAGATTGACTTAGAGTATTTAATTAAATTTCATTTAATCAAGAAATATAAAAAAACGTTTGCAAAAGTGTGTTTAAAATAAGATATTTTTAGTTAATTGGTTTAAACTATCATCAATCAGTGTGCTACAATAATATCACAGTTTAAAAGACATTCTATTTTTAATTGTGAATCAATCCACCAAATTGCGCGACTATCTTCCATTGTACCGAAGTAGATACCTGTCTCTACCTGACATGGATTTGGTCCACTGGTTAACTTTCGTGGTTTGGTTTAAGTTAGACATTAACACCGTTGGATGCCAACTCATTGATCTAGAAATTAAGCCTTCGCGCGCGAGACCGGAGGTCCTGGGTTCCAGTCCCGCATGCGGGATCATGGATGCGCAGCGCTGAGGAGTTCCATAATAGGACGAATCGGCCGTTCAGTCCTTCCAGGTTTTCAACGGTAGTCTAACACCAATCAATTTATGATCTCATTCACAAGCAGTAATTATTTTTTATCTTGCTCAGTAAGGACTGTAAATGTTTACAAAGGTATCGAAGTTTTTTAGTGGATGATCTTTTGTAAGTAGTCGAAATTAAAAAGTCATCAAGTAAGCTAGTACAGAAATTTTTAAAGTAGTCTTATTAATGTAAATTATGTTACATATGGCAATAATAATAAATTGTAGTATTAATAATTGTTTATCATCAAAGAAAGTAAAAAGAGTTGCAATTTAATTATTCAATTAGTACATGTGAAACTCAACTAATGATCGATATCTTTTGATTAAAATAACCTGTCCAGAACTGCTCACATTTTCATCATAAATTTTCCAGAATCATTTGTTATCTATGAATTTATAAGTTATACTTAAAGCAGACTTTGAATATTCTGCCTACAATGGTTAAAGTTGGTTTCATTCTAATTTAATCTCATCTTAACACTTTGTTATTTTGCTTGAGATCATGAACCGATTGATGTTAGACCACCACCTTTGGAAACCTGGAAGCTTTGAACGGCCATTTCGTCCTATTGTGGGACTCCTCAGCAGTGCGCACCCACGATCCCGCTCGCGGGATTCGAACCCAGGGCCTTCGGTCTCGCGCGCGAACGCTTAACCTACTAGACCACTGAGCCGGCATCCATTGGTGATAGTGTCTAACATCAACCAATCCACGAAACTGCGCGACCAACTTCCATTGTACTGAAGTAGATATCTGTCTCTACCCGACATGGATTAGCTCCACTGGTCACCGCTTCTCACTAGAACTCCGAGAATTCCCTCACGAAGCTATACATAGTTATGCAAATTAAAATTTAGTAGTACCTTCATAAACAGAAAAGTTTTTAAAAATTCAGTAAGCTGTTATGTTTGAGACTTGTGATATCATCTACACGTCAAAAATAAACAAAATAAATAACTTATCATGTATTTATTATTTTTCAGTAGTCACTAGTTTATATTAAAAGAGGAACTTACCTAAATTTGCAATGCCTCCGGTGGCAAATACTTTATTGACTGAATCAGTTGTATTTTTGTTCCAATTGTAATATGCAGAACCAATAAATACTTTAGAAGTATCATTTAACTCTGTGTTCATATTCAACACAGAAGTCGGTATTGTTGAGGATTGTTTAAGTAAACCATTTATATAAATTCCAAGTGAACCACTGTTATCTTCTGGTTGACTAAACCAACTGAATGCTATATTTGTCCATTGACCTAATTCCAATGCATTGTTTGAATCAACTAGCCATAAATAATTTCGAGTGTAAATACTAGTTTTTAATGACAGCTTCAATTCTTCATTTTCTAATTGACCGCTGACTTGAATTAAAATTCCAGAATTATTGGGTGGACCAGTAGACAAAATCATTGCAGTCAGCTAAAATTTCACCCAGTCCATATACACAAAATCACATCCCCCACCCCACAAACAAAAACAGTAAAATTTTGATCGTTTGTTTTTCGAAAAGTGACATTAACATCAATAAACTTAAAATCATTGACAAAAATTCTAACTGATGATTTTGGACTATTCGTTTCATCGTGAAAATTAACTTGGTTACCTCAACCAATATGTTTTTGATGGAAAAAACAACTATTGTGATGGGTGCTACTGATGTCGACAAATATAAGTAGTATTTATCATCAACCGAAAGTGAAATGTTTGGCGGCAGAAGGTTAAGAATATCGAAGAGAACGAGAACAGAGAGTGATTGATGTGGAAATGAAGGAACAATCAAGACAATTGATTGACGTTTTGCAAATAAAGTATTTACTATAAGGTGTGTGCGTTTAATAAATGCTACTTAGCATCACATTGCATTTAAAAGTATGACTGACTAACAAAAAATACTGTTACTTAAACTGTTTGGATATAATCTCGCCTTATTCCCACTCTTTACGATATAACCAACAGCACGAAAGTGCAATCAAATATGAAACTTTTGATTTGCCTACTCTTTAGTTAACTTATCTGACATGTTAAAACATTAAATGACTAAGTCTACAGACAATGTAACGTAATTCAATCACTATACTTGATCATCATATTCATCAAATTCAGTTAGTATATAATTCAAACTAAATAATATCTAAGCGAATGTTTACTGATAACTTTTGATGTGATACCTCAGTTTAATTATAGTGAAAATTACTGCATAAGATAGAGCTTGAATGTTTTCTCAGTAGCTATCAGATTGAAAGACAAAATGAAAGTTTTCCATGCTACAAACATCACTGTACACAAAATGAAATGAAATAATAAATTATTCATATTTAATCCACTTATCTACAGTATTAAAAATAGATAAGGCAGATACCGAAGGAGCAATTAGTTGAATAATAATGATAAAAAATAAGTATTTTTCGAGGAATAATCTAAACGAATAGCTTATATATCCATGCAAGTACATTTTATATAATAGAAGAAAATTCTTTCAGTAATATTGAAGTTTTTCAATTATAAGTCAATTATATTTGAGAAGGCGAAATTTAAGCTGCTAAGAATATTCAGTAAAAGGCTATACAAACATCTAGTTCATTTCTTTGTAATTTTACTAAGACTAGATTCTATATGAATATCAAACCATCTGATAAGTGAAATTGGAAGATCAACAACAACTCTCCAGGCTTTCTTCCATAGATAGACATATATCTACATTATATCACTAGAAAACATACAATTAAACAGTTAACTAACGCTTTCATTGTTCTTCACATCAAGATTTTCTCCATATTCATTGACAAATCCATTAATCATTATCCACATTGACATAGTCATACCGTTCTTGCTACATATATCTGGATATTGAATACAAGATGCCGATGGAAATGATAATGGTCTAATAAAATTTTCTAATCTAGATGCAGAATTTGTACGATTTTTATAATCATTTATTGATCCTTGTAATGGTTCAAATATATCCATATTTGTATAACATATTTGTGAATTAGCTGTGCTGGCTAATAAATCAAAATTATTTTCACTTGACATATCATATAATGTCATTGAGCTTATACACATTTTTAAACCTCGTCCAATCATTAAATTTTGTTTTAATCTTACATCAGTTGATAACTTAACATTTACTTCATTAATAATTGTTCCATTTTCAATAGATGTATTTGTATTACCATCAACACGTATTGTTAATGGATGATCTTGATAATAAAATATTTGCATATTTATCCATTTACCAGGTTGTTGTATAAAATTACGTTTTATTGAATATTTGTAAGTTAAATATTGACTACGTATTTCAACAATAAATTCATTTTGATCTGATGATAAATACATACGTAATCCAACAGTTTTTATTATACTATTTATTGGTGTTGTACGTAGAATTTCATGAATTCCATCTAATTCATTTGGTAATTCAAGTAATATAAATCGAAAACTTAAACCATAACGTTTACATATAGATGGATCATATAAACATGATTCATATAAATTAGTCATTTCACCATTTAATCCAATTTTATCACCATTCAATATAATATATGATAAATAATTACCTTCAGTACATAATGCACCATTTGGATTATCATATTGATCACGTCCATAATATGAATTAATTATTTTTATACGATTTGATGTTAATTGATATAATAAACCAGACATTTGCCAATAAAATGTTGAATATAATAATTCTATTATTTCATAATATTCCATACCAATTAAATTCATTAAACTAGTTAATGTTAAATATCTTGGTTGTAATATTAATAAAGCAATGGAAAATGTTATCTCTTGAATTGGATCTAATGTCTTAGAGCTAATTAATAAAAATGATTGTTTATTTGTATTAGTTTCATTAAATAAGTTTTTAGATTTTTCAATTGCTTGATTAATCCATTGTTGATATAATAAATTATTAATTTGTATATTTTTATTACATTCTATGATAATTAATCCATTAATTAATAATTGTAAAACGTATTCATTATTATTATTATTATTATTATTATTATTATTCATACCCCAAATTAAACTAAAATGAATCCATTGCATATTTTTTTGATTTAAACCAATTTGTAAATTATCAGCAATACATAACCAATAATTTTGTATTATTGTATTATTTTGTATTATATTGTATTGTAACCAACCACCTAATAATGCACCATTATATGATATAGTTAAACCATAATCTCCACCAGATCCACTAAATAATATTATTGGTTCAATATGATTATCAGTTGGTTTTGTAAAATATCCTCCAAAACGATACCAACCACCTATACTTAAACTCTAAATGTTATATAAAATGAAATATAATAATTTTTGTATATTATTTATAGAAAAGTATTAACTTGTCATTAATTAGTATTCATATATTTAAATTTATTGTTATTGTTACTTAATGAAATATGTAAATGTATACATAAATGAGGTTATATTTGCTATGACAACTAGGTTGAAATATCCCTACTATTCTAAATGACTCAGTAAACCAGTACATTTTATTTAATATCAAGTAGTTGAAATTGCAGTGATGAGAAAACTGTGATTCATATTATCTGCAAGTCAATAAAATTAAGGGAATAGAACAGGTCTTACTCACTGTTATATGCAAAAACACTAATGCTGAGCTAGTTTGTGAAACATATGACAATGCTTATTTCTTAGTGATTATCAGACTTCATCAATTTAGTTTATTTATTAGTTGTCAAAAAAACAATTGACTGTAAGGTATCTTATTATCTGTCACTGAATTAAATACAAATTGAATTTCAATAAACAAACTTAACGTGACTGATGAATTATTTGCTGAATAAGTTAAACATTTTACCAACAGAAAGGGGTTTTGTGGATATTAAATTATTTTTTTGGTTGAATTCATGAGTCAGTTAAAGCTAGACCACCATGGAAAACCTGAAAGAATTGAAGGGTCGATTCATCCTAGTATGGGACTGCTCAGTATTGCACATACACGATTCTGCTTACGGGATTCGAATTCAGGACCTTTGGTCTCGCACACAAACCCTTAACCTCTAGACTATTGAACCGGCAGCCAACAATGTTAATGTTTAACTTTTACAAACAGTTATCAACTGAAAGATGAAGTTCATTTTGCTCAACATATGACGTTTATGTCTATGAGTTCATAAACTGTTATGAAATGTATTGACAATTTTGATAGCATATTCTAAATTTACTAATATTGACAGGATAACTTAAAGTATGCAAAGGAAATTGACATTCATGTGGGTTAAACATTAATATTTTTAAAAAAATTAACTAAAATGGTTCAAAAGTCTAAACAGAAAGTTTCTAGAGAGTATTTGGAAAACATTGTAATAAGCCTACAAACATGAGTCATATCATTAATTAATAAAGAGTAGTATTGAGTTATCCTCTAGTGCAAGATGCATTTATTGATTGTTATTTATTTCGGGCATCAAGATTTTTACTCAGTAGACTAAAATTATGTAGGCATTGTTTAGAAACAAAAGACTCTTATTCAAAATCCTTTGGTTTTATTCGTAAAGTTTACTTACGACACAAACTTTATTCATTTAAAATCTCATTTACATTAAGATAACGACAACTTAGCAATTTAAATAATAATATAGCTGAATGAAGAACTGATCATTTATATACCTGTTGACAGTTTTGTAAATTATATGGGCATCCGTTTACTCTAAATGTGCCTAGACGTAGAGAACCACCCGCTGATAGCTGTACTGCCTCAGGATTTCGTAAAAGTAGTACTGAACTTGACACTCCATTAAGAATCGGTCCAGGTTTTGAAATGTTTCTCGAGACAGCTTCCATAATTTCAGATATAGGTGGACTAATCATATTTCTACCAAACCAAACATTACCAAGTATATTACGTAGATATGGATTTCCTAACAAACCAATCTGTTCATTATATTCTTTATGACTTAAAAATCTATTGAAATAGGCTATATCACCTAATACATAGTGACTCATTTCCCATTGAGGTTCATTTCCTCTGTTTTGTTTAGCTGCATAATCTGCATCAGAAGGTGACAACCATGCAGCTTGATTATCTGTATCATAACGTCCAAGCACAAGATACGGTGGTGATTCACGTGGTTTGTAAGTTTTCTGACCGTTTGAAAGTATACTTCCATAATTGACACCATCGAGTAACAGAGTTAACCCGACATCTCCTCGCCATAATATACCAATGTTAATCCATTGTCCTGTAAAGATAACGAATATTACTGGTTATTGGATGAGAATTCAAAGTAAATGTGATTATATATTACTTTGCATACTTTTTATTAGACCAACAATTTTTAAAAGCCTGGAATGATGAAATTAGTTCAGCTCTTAAATATCGATCATCTAATTGACTAGTCAGATTACACCATCAATATTTGACATAATGTATTCAGGTACTGACGAGAAAATATTTTATGTACTTTTTTATGAATTACTGATGCCAACTGAAAAGTCATTGAAAAACATATACTATTTCATTCTTGTTAACGACTACTTAGTTATAAGGACCCAAGATCTTCTCAGGGCTTAATTATAAAATGCATACCTTTTGTGACAGGTGAGATAACTTCACACTGATTAGTCAGAATTAAACAATTCACTTTGGTAAATTTTCCTTATACTTTGCTTATCATCCAACGCCATTTGTGAAATCTATCATGTACCATGTTAATGAGTTCTACAGGTCACCGCATCTCACTAGAATAAATGTATAAAATCCATCAGGTTCCTTCATTTGAATATTGTTGCTTATTCAGGAAAAATACTTTCTACATATCTATCCTGATATAAAATTCACTTGTCATATTTCAAGATAAATGCATCTTCTCTTAACTTAGTAATCTTGTTTACTTTCTCTTCGAATTTCGGCTCAACTCAAATCTAGCCTTGTTCATGTTTGATTTTTAAAAACAAGCTAAATTAGTAGTTTTTCATTTCGTTCCGTTAGTGTTAGAATAAAGTTACATTCGTATCTACGGAAAAAAAGTAAAACTGATTCTTCTTTACTAAAACTAAAAAATTAAACACAAATATATGGTAGATACAAAAGTCATCTTATGATTCGGTTAAACACAGCCTATACCATATCATCTTCATCACATTTTTTTGCAGCCTACTTGAATATCTGGGCTACCTGTTCCTTTCATCTAGATATTTCAACAAGTTATCTGTTTTTTCCAGCACATCATTATATCTGTCAATCGCATAACCTATTTGGGCACGTTTATTAAACATTTAAGACCATTCGCTGTACAAGTTACAAAAAAGTATAATCAGAGACGTCGTGATAGTTGGCAATATACATTGAAAAGCAACAACATTATTCACATGTTGATTCCTGAACTGCTAACATCTAACTGGTGATCACTCATTGTTTTTCGTAAGAATCGATCGATAAATAAGAAAAAGAAACTTGTTGAAATACTTTGTATTGAGAATTTTATATATTGTACTAAATAGTACAATATTGAATAGAGCTCTTGATAATGATAATAAAAGTTTCTTGAAATATTCGATAAACTTCTTATCTAAAATAAATCCTTTCTAGGATTAGAAATATTTGGATGAAAATAATTACATTTCATACAAAAATAACTTACCAATTTTATAACTACTCGAATCCAGTACTAATTGCCATGTCGATGATAACTGTGAAATTGAAACACCAATCAATGATGTGTCAGTAAATATTGATATTCCTCGACAATAACTCATTGTTGATAAACTTGTTCCTCCGTCACCAGAATTTAAATAAAATCTTATGCGATCTTGGCTAACAGATAATAATTTTATCCATATTGACATTGAGAATCCACGTGCACTACAAGCAGATAGACTTGGCTCTATTAAACATTTCCCAGTCCATATTAAATTCGTTGATATCACCTCAGCTGACTTACGCTGTCCTATAATTTAAATTTATAGGAAAAGAAAGTTTTCTTCATTAAATCCCCTTTTTTATTCATTAACTCAATGGGTTTCTTTTTTAATTAAATAAAGCATCACCTTACCTAACATCATATAATGTTGTGGTTTCATTTCAAGTACAGGTACTTTTGATTTATTCTCATAATCATCATGACTGAAATGAAATTTGACAAATTTTGGACGATAAATTGATGCCAATGAATAACCAGGTATACCTGTTAATGAATAATCATTTTCTGGTTGTAAATATTTATATTTCTGTCTAACTTGTATTTGTACACTACTATCATAAAATATATAGGGATCAGGTGTCCAATAATAGCTGGCATTATGAAGATTAGCTTGTTGTGCTCCTTTAAGTAAAAGAAATACAAATGAATACTTCTTCAATATAAAATGTATAACAATAACCAGTTAAAAGAAAGTAATTATAATGTTTATAATAAAACTAATTTTTTAAATCTTATATTGGTAGGCAATAAGTGAACATGATAGTTAGGTTTCACTTTGATTGACTGGTAAGTAATTTATTATATCAGCTTTCTATTTATCTTAATATTTTAAGTCAAATGTTTTGTCTATATTCAATTTATATGAGATAGTTCTTTATGAGGCTTAGTTACTCGTATTTTAAAATTACTTCGTTCTTGAATTTACAAAATAAATAATTAGCTTTATCAGTAATACTCAGTCAGTCGCACTATTTCAGCGATCGGCCATAATTTATACAAACTACAATTTTCCTAAAGTATAACATTAATATTATTAGAATTGAAAAGAACTAATCGTTTGATGGTTGTTTAGAATCAGCTTATTCCTTTGCTATACTTACGGGAATCAATTGATAATTTTATTATGTTCAGAAAAACAGCCTATGTAATGCACCATTGTATGCATCATTTAAATGTCACTGATAAAATCAGAGAGGTATTAACCAGCCTATATGTAAATTTCATTCTTTGATATAGATTTTTAATCTTTTTTTCAGTGAATTTGTGCTTAATATGGCAACAAAGACGTGTTGCTAAAATGTGTTATAAACATTAAATTAAGATAGAACATTTACTGAAGAAACATTGATCTACCTTAGATCTCTTATGATACATTATCATCTAGATCTATAACCGGATCAAACTATTCTCAAAACTTATTGTCTCTTCAAACGTTTTTCTAGCATGCGGTAAACAATTGAACTGACATCGAGCGAAAAAACTTCAAGATAATGCTTTTTAGTTTTAAAATGCTCGATATAATACTCAAAGGAAGAAGTTAACCGGAAACAGAATATTACTTATTTTAATTACACTAATTTAACAGATACTGTGTTATTTAACTTACTTGTATAACCCACAAAAAGATGTGACTCAAACGAATACAACCATCTATACCATAGAATAAAATCATTGTAAGCGATGCCAGCAGCACTTTGTTCAATTTTTGAGCTGCCCAGAATTAGTCCATTTAAACAACGATCAGTTCTTTTCAGTGGAGTTCCTGTTGGTGGCATAACTTGTTCAACAGGCATTGAAATACCATTAAAGTATACAGATGCGGTAGGATCTATAAAGTTTGATAAACTTATACCAATATTGAACCAGACATCTCTCGGTATCATACTGTATACACGAAAAACAACTAGACCCATATTTGAGTTAACTGGAAAAAAAGGTGAAAAACAAAATAAGTTGTTTTACTTACTTCAAAATTGGAATTGTGTTGTTATAAAAAAGTTTGTTTGTTTTCCAGATGGTTGAAAAAACTCAAGTATATCCTTCTCAAATAAACAACAACACAAAACAAAAGATGACTGCATATATTGATGTAACTTTGATGATGATAAAATGGTTCAAATTCCTTGTTAATGAACTTAAATGACTTCCTTCTAAGAATATCTCTTACGAATAGTAACAGTTCATAAAGTTATCTAATCTCTTATTTCTATCATAAACTATAAGAATTGTGTAGTTCAAATATTAGGTGAGTAATATTTCTTACACTAAAACTTTTGAGTTTGTTTGAATCATTTGATCTGTTAGTTAGTTTATCATAAATGATAGACATGTTCCATATTATCATCATCATAATTTGCTGTCATAAAGCGAGTTCATCAATTACTCATTTTAAAACCTAAAGAAAAACCCATCAAAATTGTTTATTTCGAAGTCTCCTTAAAGTCAAATTTATTTGAACAAATATAGCATCAGATTACTTTCAGTAGTCTGATACATATATATTTAGATGTTATAAAGTTTTTGATACATATTCAGCCACCGGATAATGTTAACGGCTTCAACCTGATATGTTTATTTTATCTGCTTATAACATTGACTTCTCCTCTTACTAGATTTTAATTTTTTTTAAATAATGTTACTCTTGCCTATAAACTATTCGACCGTGTTTAAAACAAATTATCATCTATGAAAAATATATCCCTTTTAATCAGGTCCATTTATTATCCAATATACTAAAACAAATATCAACCAAAGTACATATGTATTGATAATCTAATGAGAATTATATTAGTGAAGTTTGATCTGTCAGTTATCAACTATTCTAGAGCTAACTTATAACAAATCACTGTCTACAATAACTCAGAAATGATATTAGATAAAACTGTATATGAACATTTTTTACTTACCGAAAATATTGATATAATTGTTATAAACTGACACAGTGATACCATTGACTAATTCTAAAATATCTAGTATACCAACAGTAGTATCTAAAATATCCGGTATGTTTAACCATACTCCCATAGATAAACCTCGAGTGCAAAGGCTTATATTACCGGGACAAGTTTTCACATTAAAGAGTTTCATCTAAAAGTGACAAAAATTAGGAACAAGGGAGAATAGTAAGTGATTGATCATTAATAAATTAAAATAATCACTGTAATCTATAAAACGTTCAATACAAGAAAATACATTTGTCAATAGTGAAGCACTTAGACTTAAGTGACATCTGAACAAAAACTATTATATCAAGAAAATGTGATATTAGATTTGTATGGTTTAATTGAATCAATGGAAGATATTGACTTCTCTTTATTTTATCTTCTTATGCTTTTCTGGAAATCGAACTAATATCACTCAACTCTGGAAATAGGGGCTACTTTTATTGATCTGATAGAACTACTAAGTATTACAGAAATTTAAAATATAAGTTCCAACCTTCTACTAGCTTCCCTAAAGTTCAAGGCACATTTTATTGATGAGTTCTGCAGAATGTCCCGCCTCCCTTCAGCTTAAGGGCTTGAACAATATATTAAAACAAAATGAGTTAGACAATTTAATTATTTGAATTCATAACTAAATGCCACTTCTTTCTAAAGAAATTAATATACACTTGGAACTATAGAATTATGTAAATCATTATTTTGCATGTGAATAATCCATGTGGGTTGAGTTTGAAGTAGGTTAATAATTTATTTCTAAATTAAGTTTTCTGTATAATTTGCCGAGTTTTGTGATGAGTGTGTATTCAATCAAACTTTGGTTATATGAAACATGAGTTGACAAACTGATAATAATTGTAGCACTGAATTGGGTATATTCACTTTATTTTTCATGTATCATGTGAATGAGGGTTCATAAATCATTAGTGATTATACAAACGGTTTATTTTGTTCTTATAAAAACATAATGTTTAATTACCTCAAAAATAAATCTAATATTTAGCATGCTAAAACTATAGACGAGAGAAACTTCGTTGAAACCCTTTTAAATTCATTTGTAAATTCTGTGGCCATAAGTAATTAATGGAATTGAAACATCTTAATGATCACTGTCGATTAACCAGGTCTTTCTACTGATTACTTTTAACTTTCAACTTTCAACACTGAAACTCCATATAATGAGTTATTAAAGAATAATCGACATAAATAATGGTATTCATTTCAAAACTTATAAAGTAGTGTATGATGTCAAAATATATCACAAGTACTAGTGTGTCGTTTACCAACATCTTTGAAAAAACTAAATGAACATGGTATTTATGAAAAGTACTAATGGATATTAAAGATTAATCTTAACTATCCGATTATCATTATTCACTAAATTGTTACCTTTTAACCTTTTTATTACCTAATGAGAACTGTTTTTTAAAGTCTTTTATAAATATTTGACGTATGATTACTGATATACCAAATAATGACTTCATCATTCACCCTGTGTGAATGAAATATAGAGTTTATTTTCTTAAAATATTTGTAACATGGTGTATTTAATGTTCTATTTTTAAGTTTATTTCCGGAGTCAAATAAATCTGTATCACTAGTTTTTATGTTCACACTATGCGTAGTCGAACTCAGGATCCTGATGCGAAGCACAAGCCAGATGAGCATTACACAGACAAACAGTGTTACATATAACATTGTCACCGCTAAAATGAAATGAAATTTACTTAGTAGTTTCACGGTTTTGTAATGTCTGTTTAGCTCATATCTCTGCATAATTGGCTGGAATTTTGTTCATTACATATTATTTTATTGTATCAGCAATGAGTCTACTGTTATTTTAATATAAGTCGATCATTTATAACTGATATGATATCATGTTACTAACTTCAAAACAACTTCTAACTGATGTTAACTTATAAGCAGTTTTCAGTTTAGAACGATCAGCTACCAATTCAATATCGTGTTTTGTATAATTTAATGGTAAAACCAATAAAGGATTGTAATAATCTGCCATTAAATAAATTGGATTTAAAGTTTCACTAATTTCCTCAGCTGGTGTAAGCTCTTCAACTTCATTTGTGTAGTCTGCATAATTTGTGGTTTTAGTTGGTTGAGGAACTAATGGTTCTGCAACTCTTTCAGTTAATAAATAATGCTCTGTAAAACAGATAAAAATGTATGAAGAATAAATTATATTAAAAAAATACACAAATGATATGAAGAGAACGATCAATCCTGTTGTAGTTACGAATGTTTGAACTTAAAACACATAGAAAGATTAGATGGTGAAATTTCGCTGAAATAAATTTGTCCACTTGCTGTAACATGAAATATAGTAGTTATTGAAATTTACATCATGGGCTTCATTAATAGAGAATATCAGATACTCATGGAATTGATTTTTTACAGAATCAAATAAAGTGAATGGAGTACGTGTTGAGGACGATAGATCCCCAAACTCATATTTTAAATTTTATCGCATCGATCAACTTATTGATTAAATGTTTAAATATTTGTATTGGGGTCAATTGATGAACTATCGATTAAATGCGCAAATAGGTCAATTGATGAACTATCGATTAAATGCGCAAATAGGTCAATTAATGAACTCATTGATTAATGTTTAAAAATTTTCTATGACAATATCGATTGTAAATAATTGTATAAATACGCTTGACTTGTATGCTTGGTCTGATCTGCCTACCTGACTTGGTATCTGCTGTTGCTTGTAGAATATACTTTCTACGCCTTACCAAGACTTCTTGATCGAGTTAGCTGAGTCGAAGACAACGGATAGAATAGTCTATTGAGTCTCTGAATCCTGAGCCTTTGTTCCGTTCCGAATAAGTCGAATCAGTAGTATCCTCAAGGTTAACGAACCTAACAGTACGCTACTGAGTTACAACTGGTAACTAGTACATAGGTATACATAATCGTTGGGTTTTATCATACCCATCAAAGTTCCTCACGAAACATATATCTGTAAGTAAACTCAGAGTAAAATGAACGACAGTACCAAAAAGTCTTTATCCCTAAAATTACAGTCCAAGGGTGATATAAGTAGTGAAATAGTAATTCGATATAAACGAAAAGCTATACAATGTACATTCAATGCAGCAATATTATGCTGTACTTTATCTACTTTATCTATCTTAGTGAACTGAGTTTTTACTGGTCATGTTGATTAAAATTCAGCTTCCAAAATTATCTATAGAACTCCCTTCAACGTAATTTATGGTTTCGAAATCTGGCTCATATACAGCGGAAGCCATTGGAATACATATCAATAAGCGAACCTCTGTACACAGCAAACGTTTATACAGCTTTTGGATTTACCTTGAAATTCAATTTAGCTACTATAACGTTTCCGAAAACTCTCCTTTTTCAAACTTTTGCTAACATCTTAATTTATCATCATATTCTTACGTAATCTGTTTAATAATCTTACTACCTAACCTTCAATGCACTTATTTTACTAGTTATTTATTATTAATCTCAGATATCACAAAACATATTTATATCCAAACTCAATTCTTTACTCTTACTCTTATGTAAATAACTATGATAATTAAGTAATTAGTAATTTTCTCCATAATTTTGTTCTTCAAACGTTTTGTTACTAACTCATTATTATTTCGTTAAACTGACTCACTACCGTCTATTTGGTATCGATTTTGTACCTAATTGTATAATATATGTATTCATGTAGATCCCTGACTAGGAACTAATTGAAAAGATTTTATTTGCTGAAAAATTCCCATTATATTAAAGCACAATTGTATGAACAAATTTATTAAAAACCTAAGTAAATGTGTACCTATCGGCTTAATTGTTTCGTATACGTCTTTTGGAATCATCTGTTGATCTCTAAGCTTTTTTAAGGTTCGGGTCAGTTCATTCTCTATCTTATTATTGACACCTTTTTGGTTATTCAGTTTCTGTAATTTTTTTGTGTGTTTTAATTGAAAAGAAGTATTTTTTCACTCAACTTGTATTTTTAATGTCTCATTAGGAATAGTAATTGCATTTTGATTAAATCTTTGAGAAACAGTTCTATTGAATTCTATTTTTGTTAAATGTCAGTAAATGAATTTAGAACGAGCTGAATATTTCATGTATATCTTCTCTTTTAAAAATATACGAAGTTCAGAATCGAGGAGCCATGAAACTAGTCAACTGATTCATATACCACACTATGATATTATTTTACATTAAAAGCTATCATAACAATTTAGAATGAAAATTACATTGAACATTATTTCCCCAGAACAATAATTTTCATTATTGCAATAGATACTCAACTTTCCCAGGCCTCCGCTAAACAATTCATTTAATTGGATAGGCCAATACCATAAGGCAACTGTCGCTACTCTAATTCCTGGATTAACAGAGGAGATGATTTTATCTCCATCTAATCCTCTATTACAACCGACCCAAATTGATGTTGGTGTTGAATTACTACCCAAATATTGAACGCCTTGATAATTATTTTTCACAGCAACTATCTTACCATTTATCACCAGCTGAGGTAGGAAAAAGTATCATTCTTCTAATAAATTATTTCTTATAATAAACAATTCATAACAAAATATTATGATTACTATAAAACTGAATTAAAGACACTAAGTTTAACACAAGGATGTTACATATTGCATTTGACAAAATTATTTATTGTTTCATACATAAATTCTAGATTTCTAATTCATCTTATTTAAGATGAACTACCTACTATTTATGTTTCTATCAAGTTCTAAATACATGCACATCCACTAAATATAAAACCAATGAATATATCCTCCTCATCAACTTAGAACAGGATGGAATATGAGCCAAATTAAGAATAAAAGTGATTACAGTCAGTATACAAACATTTTAGAAAAATAGAGGTCAAAATCGAAAGGTACTAATTAATTGTTGTTTGAAAATCACCAAATAAACACTGAATAATGTTTCTCAATAATTAAATATTTGTATTGGAAGGGGTTTTGTGAATAGTATAGTAATTTTAATGGCTGAGATCATAAGTCAGTTGAAGTTAGATCCTGTGAGGCGAGACCGTGGATGCGCACTTCTAAGGAGTCCCACAATAGGATGAAACGGCGTCCAGTGCTTCCAGGTTTTCCAAGGTGGTGACCACCAACTCTGAGATGCAGGTACATCCGGCTGACGAGTCCCAAATAGGACGAAACGCGCATCCTGCGTTCCACTGCTAGGCACTATCCATTATTTCTTAGAATGTATTTGATAATGTTCAATGTCAAAAAAATAGTGTTGATCTCTAGATTTATACTCAGATCAGTGTTCAGATAATAATAATTATTTTTTGTCCCATGGCATTACATCTCGATATGACAATTTGTATACTTATAACCCTTATTTTCATGGTGAATGAGTGAGTTTTGCTGTTAATGTTAATTGATGTGAAATTATAATATCAGTGATGAACAGTTCGTGTATATTTTACACTATACTACTACTGTACGATATTCGTTACTTTTAGAATAAGATAAATCTAATAATTTTTAAGATTATATAGTGAATTAGTTGATTTTGTGGTTAAATCTGCCATTATTAATAGAATATTTTCCAAGAAGTATGCTAATAATAAATCCATAGAATTTGGATGCACCTATCGGTCATCTGCTGTCATTTTATTACTACTATACGTACGACAGACCAACTAGATTGTGATTCAATAGGGAAATGTCATTTTATCAAATCAGTGTATTGAAATCCTGTTGACCTTGGATCTAATTATTGGATGAATATATATGAGCTTGATAAATTAAATAGTTTTTTGTTGTTTACAATTTTTACTCCAAGTTTTCAAATTGTATCAATAGAGTTTATATTATTACATTCTGTACTAATGACTTAACTAAAGAACTTTATGGTCCTATGGTATATGGAGCCATAAAATTACTTCCTTTTGAAGAGTAATCACTTCTTTAAATAAATGTGGTTTTTATACGAATATTCGTTAATATTAGAACGAATAGTTTGACAAAAATTGGGCGCCGAGTATAGAGAAGACATTATATGTAAAAATTATATTTGAAATAATCTCAGCAACTAAAATTTAAAATAATTCTAACGTTTCGTCCAGCAAACATGTCTGGACTTGTTCAGGGTAACAATCAAAATCATCAGAGAAATATTTATTATCATTATTATTTCTTTGATAACTTTGGTTATGATTGTTACCCTGGAGAAGTCCAAATATGTTTGCTGGTCGAAACGTTAGAATTATTTTAAATTTCAGTCGCTGAGATTATTTCAAATATAATTTTCACATGTGATGAAATATGATTTTTGTCTGGTAGTGTATCTTATTTTCAGTAATACCATACACTTCTGTTGCATTGAAACTTTATTCAGTTACAAATTTTGGGGACAAAATTTACTGAAATCTAGCAATCAAAACAATGTTTAACTAATAAGTGCTGTTCCACTAGGTCTTAAGGCTTCCAAAACTTTTCAGAGTTGTTTGAAAAAATTTGATTTAAATTCTGTAAGTTCAAACAAAATTTACTATTCTTACAGATAGTAAAGTTAACCGGGTGATTTGTAGAAATCTGATTAAAGTTATCACGTTTTCATTGTAAACTACAATTCATAGCCAAATGTCTTTGAGATTTTAAGACCACTCTCAGCCTCACAAGCCCATAATGAAAAGTGATATTTTTAGTAGACGAAACACTGAATAAAGTCTCTAACATTCACTAAAGTAGAAGAATGCTGAGTATGGATTTAATTATGTAATTCAAAAAGTATTTTAATCTTATTTAGACCTAGAAGGTTGAAGTTCATTCTTTCGAAATATGTTGATGCTTATTAATCAAAAATCATTCACAATTATTATTCTCAAACCACGCCAATTTGTAGAAAATTCTAAAACTCACTAAAATTACTAAATTCAGAATGCTTTTAAGCATTTCATATTTATGGAGGATTTCAAAAGACAATAAATAACATCAGTTTTGTAGGAGTGTATGCAAAAATTATACTGATTTCTGTTAGAACAGTGTAAGATATAAAATGAATTCATTCTAAACAGAACAAATGTAATGTCTCTTTTTGTCATATTAAACATAACTGTAACGAAATGATTTAACATATTGGATCATCTTATATTCACTTACCCACTTACTTTCACTCAATTAGTTAATTTTAGCTAAATTCTGTTGACTGATTGTTTATTCATTAATCATTTTAATCAGAATAATTAGTAGTTATGGGGTTCACTACTTTTTATGACTAAACTTTCAATAATAAAAATACACAACAATCTAAAGGAATATGTGCAATATCATAACTTTGGATGGATAAAAACTAATTGATTTCATTTCGGTGAGTTGGTTCTTGCTACGTTAAACGTTGTCATGGAAACTAAGTTTACGGTGGTTTACTTTAATCAAATACTTACTTTTATCATTTGTGCACTTTTACCCCATACAACACCAATATTAACCCATTGATTTAATGTTTTTGTAATTGGACTGTTAACTTTCCAAAGGGTATCTGCTGTCCTCAGTTCAAATTCTAACATCCCGTTGTTAATTAAAAGAGAAAAGCCTTTTCCTTTTTCTGGAGCTATAGTTTAAATATGTAGGAAGCAGATAACACGATTTAAATAAATGTTTCGATCACCTTAAATATATAATTCATGATTAAGCTCTCAGAATTTATCAGTTGTTGGCTCCATGACATCTATAGTGATTTTAAGTTATGAAGTAGTTAATCCAATAAAATAAGCATGGACAAAATAAAGTGAAGCATTGAACCAGGGCCGTTGATCTTACTGTCATCTATATCAAAAAATGCATATCTTTTTAAAAAATGACATCAAACAGTGAGATGAAATCGATTAATAATCTTGAACTGATCTTAAAGCTGTTGGTATTTGTCAGTAAGTGTAGTTACAGACTTGAATGATTTTAGCTTGCCTATTAAATGTAGCTGTTAATGTAGTGGTGATATGATGGGATAAATAGGCAGCATTAGATTCTTTTCCCCATAGTATTTTTTGCTCAATAGTACTTCCGTTTTTTTTAAATTCGATGTGATAGTTACTTAGTGTAGCATTCGGTTTTGTTTTCTAGTGGGATATTTTATTCGATATATCCTACGATATTCTGGCACTAATTTAACATGAACTATACTCGGCATGGTATGGAACATGTGATTTGTTATAACCCCGGGTATTTTTCAGATATATGTTTTGATCCTAAGTAATAGTCAAAATAGATTTACAATCAATATATGTATCGAGTGTATTTTCGACTAGGGTTGTCGTTGTGTTTTAGGGTTAATAAATCTTCACTTGTATCAGTCTTAGTGTTCTTACTTCGTGTGGTGGGGATTGCCATGGTTCCTCATTTTACAAGTATAAGTGATAAGCGATTACAACATAACAATTAACGACAACCAAGTAGAACAATTGGCAACGCAGTCATAACATTCAGCCTCCAGTGGTAACCATGAGTAATTTTTACTGTCACTACATGTTTTGTTAAGACCATTGGATATCATCCATTATCCATGAATCAGATGTTACAGAAGTGATAAGAAACTGTGAACCACCAGTGAAAATTTTAGTTATCGTTATTTTCAACTTATGTAAAGCTGTTAACTGCTAGTTGCAGCGGTTATTGTTACATATTGGAATTTCAGATAAATTTCCTCAAGTCTATTAGACTTAAGCTTAAGAAATATGTTCTGATTCGTTGACGTAATGTTATGAAACTTGTTTATCTTGAAGATTTGTGCTAAATTAATCGATTTAGTATCCGTATTAATTTGGAATAAATATCTGTAGAAATCAATGAAGGATAGTGTAAGTTTGATCATAATGTTTTCTTCCTTTTCTCTGGAACATGGATTAGTATTAAACCTATATGACATACATACATGTTTATAGAACGGTGGAAGGATGGGAATCGAGTTGAAAAATGTGCTGCATTCACGTTATACATTTCGAATAATATGGTCCCCCATGTAGTTTTCAAGGCATTTTATATGAAAATTAATAAATTTCAATTAAATAAGAGTATAAATAAACAAAAGCGATTACTTTAAATATGGGATAGAAGAATTTAATATGATACTGAATAAATAAGGAATTTTTAATAGTTGAATTTAGGAGTTGATTTAAGCTAGACCACCATGGAAAACCTGGAAGCACTAGATGGTTATTTCGTCCTAGCATGGAACTCTTAACCAGTTCACATCCACGACCTGACACCCAGAAATCGAATCCAGGATATTTGGTCTTGTGTAAAAAAGCTTAACTTCATGACTATTGAACCGAGACGCAACAGTGCCAATGTCTAACTTCAACTAGTTCATGAATTTTATTGGTTTCTACGTATGCCTCGAAAAGTATATATGCGTGCAGATCATTCATAATATTAAATGCTTCCAAATATCAATACAGCTCATCAGTCTTAGAGTGACTGATTACACTTAAAGCTTACCTGTTGATATAAGGACTTCTTTTGGATTGAATGTTTCTGTCGTGAATTGAAGCCAAATCGACAAACTCAATCCATAATCACATTCATTAATGTCTAGTAAACACTGTTTAAAGTAATATCGTTCACGTGTAATGTCATCCAGCAAGCAAATACAACTTTCATTCTCATTTAAATTAATGTAAATACTATCTTGAGTATCATGAATTCCGGGAGTAGTTAATCTTTTTTCTGGCAGGGTTCCATTTAAGGATATAAATAAAGATTTCTTCATGTTATTTAAGTCATTGTAAATTGGACCAGCGTTACTTAATTTACTGTCGAAAAGCGATAATCTGTCATATATCGATCGCGTCAGTGTATTACGGTCTGGAGCACGATCGAAGATAAATGATTTCCCAACCACTCTTTTAAATGACCAATAGTGGTTTGCAGTGTTTTCATATCGAACATCTGTACGCAAAAGAAAGAATAAAAGTAACATGAAAACCCTGATCAATATAAAGCATTGTGATTGGCAGAGTGTAACGAATAGTAGTCGGTTGTTACGGTCCAGCAGTTATATACCTTCTCCAGAACTATATGAGCATTACCCATCAAATTTGCATTTCTGATTTATATTTATCAACAGCTGAAGATGGAATACAGAAACATCATTTCTACTATTCGCAAATGTTCTATTGTGTTCCCACGTGTTCTAGTATTTAGGACTTTTCTCAAAATGTGCGGTTTATTATTGAATTACTGAATAATAAGTATATTTTTGTTATATCCCAATGCGTAGGAAAACTGTATTTTTCATGTTTCGTAACTTAATGTAAACCACTTCTTCAGAGTGAATAAGTAATCAAGTTAAATTAACACGAGTTTAAATGGTATAAAGGAAACAATGCAGAATATTTTTGGTGCAATCAAAATCATAATAGGTCTGAAAATGTCAGTCTGGTTATTCTTGATCAATGTTAATTTTTGTGACTTATCACTGTATTAATTTCTGTATCAGAGTGTGGGGTATGAAAAATGCATTCATTTGTATAATCAAGTAGTGAGGAAGAAAATAGGTGTGTGTATGTATGTAGAGAGTAAACAAGGTCATATGTTTCTGATTGAGATCACGAATCAATCGATTTTAGACCACCATGGAAAATCTAGAAGCACTGGACGGCCGTTTCGTCCCAGTGTGGGACTCCTCAGCAGTACACATTCACGATCCTTCTTGCTGGACTCGAACCCAGGACCCTCGGTCTTGCACGTGAACGCTTAACCTCTAGACCACTAATCCAGCATCCAACGACCTGTTGGGAGGTCTTTTTTGTAATTTAGGTGTTCCTTGGCAAGAGTAGAGATCTCACTGGAAGACATTCCAACATAGAACGCATCATGATCGACACAACCTAGTCGATAATCACTGAATTACACAAGTTACCTCTCGTATAACAGAAGGTAAATAACCGCATAACTCATTGGTTAAAACAAATCATTCATAAAAATAGGTCATATCAGAAAACAGAATGTTTTTGCATAATCATTATGTAAACATTAGTAGAACGATATTACAATGTACAGGTAATATATACACTAACCACTGATCGATACATATTATACGAGGAGTAAACACACTATCTGACCAGCCGAAGTTGGTTAACTGATAATTATAAATCCCGAGTGGATTTCTCGTAGAAATATTTAAACATTATTACAAATAAATTATTACTATAGCGGAATATATTGATGAATAATGAACTATAATGCTACACTTTAATGTAAACAGTTTAATCTAATACCGAAAACAAATTTAGATTTTAAATTATTTATTAAAAATAATTAATGTTTTTAAAAATAACAACTACAGTAATCCTTAATTTGTAGAAGTTTCCTTACCCACTAAGTCTTCAATGGGCAGTTCATATTTCGGAACTGGGAGTTGAATTGGTTTTGGACCTGTATTATCTTCAAAAGATGCTAACTTAATAATAGTTGATGATATGACTCCCGTGATGGTTTTGATAGAACTGATAGTGGTGGTAGAATTTGTGGTGCTAGCAGTGGTGACTGCGTTTGTGGTATTGGTGATAAAGGTCGGAATGGTGGTGTTAGTAGTAGTGGTTGCATTTGTAGTGTTGCTGATGTAGGTCCAACTGGTAGTGTTAGTGATAGACTTGTTCGTATTGATAACACCTATTGATAAAGGTAAAAGTTAACACTAATTCAAAATATTAATAATTAAAAATGATTTTAGACAATACAGTTATTAGTAATAATCGACTTCAGTTAGAGAGCCAGTAGAATTCTCTACTTAATAGACTAATGTTTCTTCTCAGCTAGAGACTCTTCAATATCCATAACACTACGTGAGAACGAGTTAAGGATTTTCAGGTCTCATTTCAACACCAAGTCGAAGTTCATTTGTGCAGATTTTCTAATTTGAGACATTCGCGATTTAAAATGACTTTTATTTAATGTTATATCCTACCATTTCTTTCATATTCAACTTGATGGAATTGAAAAGGTAATTTACTAGATTCGGCGAAATTCATCTCACTATCAGTCACCAGTTGTCATGTGAATATCACCAGATAAAGTCTTTTTTGGAAACGTATTCAATGTACAGATACTTTATCCAACAAATTGATATTTTCTTATTATGAAATGTCTTGCTAGCTGACAATTTACGGTTGTTCTGATCAATCAATGGTCGGTTTATAATTATGGATTCAGTAGTTATTTAAATAAATCTACATAAGATATCAGTAAATAACGTTGATTTCTCCTTAAAATTATGTTTTGCTAGCCAAATATCCATAAATGTAATTAGATTTAATTGATATTAAAGTGATATCTTTTACAGTAATGTCTGCCACATAAAATTGAATTTGAAGAGAAAATAATAATGAGGCTTAGTGACAAGCGATTGGAAAGCACATCTCCAACAATAAAAATTTTCTCGTAACTTCATGTAAAAGTTCAAGATCTTATTGTTGGGTTCAAAACTAATGTCATAGTAGTTGACAGTAAATACAGTTGTTCTTTTTCAAAAGCCAATGAAACTATCATTGTATCATAGGCGAAACATTTTTGCTTGCAACTATCATCAGAATAATATTCAACTGACTAGATTAATATTTAAAGGAATACTTAGAGTTTTCCACAAATTTCTGAAGAATTTTATAAAACCACTTTCAACAATTTCATTTGGTAGAGAGTTAATCATCCACTATTTTATAGTTCTCTTTCATAAAAACCGTATTTTATACACAGTTAAATATTAAGAACAATTCAGTGTTATTCATTGTTTACCGCTTGGAGTTCCTAAAGTCAATAAACTCTGAGACGTATTGGAATTAGTAGTATTTGTAGTAGGTTTGACAGTGGTGATAATAGTCGCAGTAGTAGTAGTAGTAGAACTAATATTAGTTGTGTTAGTTGTGGAAGTAGTATTAGTGGTTGTAGCATTCGTTTCCTTCAAGTTAGTAGTATTAGTAGTAATTGGATTGATAGTTGTTGCGTTAGTAGTCGTAATAGTAGTAGTAGTAGTAATATTTGTAGTATTCTTCGTCGTTATCGCCGTAGTATTAGTAGTAGTAGTTTTAGGAGTTGTAGTAGTAGTTGCCATAGTGGTATTGGCAGAAATAACAGTGGTAGTAGTCACATTAGAGATAGGACCAATAGTAGTTGTGTTAGTCGTGGAATTAATATTAGTAATGTTAGTATTCCTTATCGCTGAGGTGGTATCGTTAGTAGTAGAACTAACAGTGCTATTGGTCATAGTAGTAATTACATTGGTGTTAGAAGTAGTATTAGTGGTTGTAGTATTCTTTGTCGTCGCCATAATGGTGGTTGTATTCGAAGTATTAGTAGTAGAAGTAGTAGGACTAACAGCAATAGTTGTTGTTGCAGCAACAACAGTAGGACTAATGGTAGTTGTACTGGTATTAGCAGTAGTAGGACTGGATGTAACTGCTAGCACGGAACCAACAGATGAAGCATTTAAGAGTGTATTTACTGTAGTGCTCAGTAGAGAAGATATTTGTGTTGTGTTTGTTGCTGATTTTACGGTTGACACAGTTGGTAACAATGCTGCGTCCGTCACATTTTCTCCAACTGTTGTTGCTACTGTTGTATCTAGTGTACTTGAGTTGCCTATTTGGTAAATTAATAAGAACAGTTTGAGTTATGTTATTGTAATGTCAACAGAGTCAACGTAAAGTAAAAAATTCCAACCATTAAAAGTTTCTTCAAACATTTTAGTTTTCTCCATAATTTCATAATCCCATTGAACAGATGAAGCTAAGAATTTATTTGTGTGCAAAAATTACTGATCTCAAAGATCTACATCATCATTGTTTTACAGAATTGATCTGATGATACTGTTCATAAAAATATTGTGTTTTCTTTTCAATTTTAGTGTAAATTAAATTATGTTTAGTTGAAAGTTTCTCATCCTAAAGGATATATAATGATTATTAGGTAGTGCATTCACGTGACAACTGAAAACTTTCAATTCAATAATTAATTTATGTATAATTCAGTTCTGGTGAAAGTTTAGGTAGTTCTAAACATATCGAAAGCAATTTTGGAATCATTAATCAAGTCTTTTTGCCGAAAATTCTTGAAACATTTGTCAAAAATTACTTGAAACTGAAGAAGTTGTAGCAATTTATACTTTGATCAGTCCCTTAGATTTTTATGAATGTAATTCTGATAAGTATTCCGATCTTCTACTTTCAAATTGAAATTTTCATTTCTTGTCATTATCATATTGTTTTTGATCTTTTAATAAAACAATTCTTGCACATATATGCCTTCTTACTTATTCATTAATGTTGAGGTATCTAATCCCGTCAAATCAATACTGTCTGACTTCTCAACTGAATAAATTTTTGATTACTTGTTAAGAAACAATTTTACCGAAGTCATACAAATTTATACTCTGTAACTGAGTCTTACTGTTAGTACTGAATGGTCGTTCTGTATGTCTGAAGTTTGAAAATGAGATCTTTGAAAAGATCACATTCCTGATTCCTGTTTTGATTTATAACTTATTGAGAGTTTTTTGACTCCACCTCTAGCTTTTCTAGGTTGACTCCCAATCCCAAGTACAAATAAAAGAGAATTGAGCAAAAGGTCAGAAACTCCATCCCATAAAAACAATTTCGCTAAAAAAACCCAACCAAAGAACAATCATTTAAACCATTTAAACTCTCCATTTAGGAGTTGAAAAATCTTCATTTAGAAGAACTATGACACTTCATAGTCAAAGCTGAGATTCTTAGAAAATCACAAGGCCGATACCCCTTCTAACAACCAGAGTAATAATTATTATAGGTGCATGGAATATCCGGACAATGTAGGGGACTAGGAGGACCAATCAAATAGCTGTGGAAATGAGGAGATACAACTTGGCGGTTCTCGGAATCAGCGAAACACATTGGACTTAAGCTGGACACAAAAGATAAGCTTCGAGGCAGATGCCATTATACTCTGGTTATCAAGAAGAAAATGCTTTGTACACGAAGGGAATTGCACTGTCGCTGTCAAAAGAATCATGAAAAGCACTTATGGGATGGCAATCTCATGGATCCATAATCATCAAAGCATTATTCATGAGATCTCAATGAACGTTATTCAGTGCTATGTACCGAACAATGACAGCAGCGAATATGATGAAAATCATCTTCATGAGAGGCTGAATTCGATCATAGAGAAGTGTCTATGAATGAACCTGACCATCCTGATGGGAGACTTAAACGCCAAAGTCAGAATAGGTAACACCGGATATGGTGTCATGGGAAGACATGAACCGGAAGAAAGAAACGAGAATGATGAGAGATTTATAGATTTATATCCATTCAACAAAATGGTTATAGACGACATATTATTCCCACACAAACGCATACGCAAGCTACATTGGTCTCATCTGATCACACTACGAAGAACCAGATAGATCAAGCATCGTCGGTAAAGAAACTCACAAGTTCGATGGAGGACGTGAAAACCAGAAGAGGGGCTGGCACAGCTTCAGACCACCACCAGGTTGTGGTCAGGGTCCAACTTGAGCTAAAGAAGCACTGAACAACTGGAGAAACAGTATGACAAAGGTTCAATTCAGCCTTCCTTCGAGATACTGACAAACTCAACCAATTCGAGATGGCTCTCATTAACAGGTCGCAAGCATTACAAGATCTACTTAAAGAAGAAAAAACTTGAAAAGTAATAAAAGGAGCCCTAACTTCGAGCCGTCAGGACGTTCTGAGCCGCAAGAATCATCATCATAGGGAATGGAAGTCTATCGAAACACTGGACAAGATTCAAGAAAGGAAGAACAAGAAGATAGCAATTAACAACAGCCGAACAAGAACACAGAAAGTTAAGGCACAGATCAAATGCACAGAAGCAAATAAGCAAGTGAAGAGCAGCATTAAAACCGATAAGCGGAAATACGTGAAATACCAAGCAACGACAGTGGAAAAAGTTGCAACAGAAGGAAATATGAGACAACTATATGACACAACAAAGAAACTGGTAGGGAAATACAATAAACCAGAAAGACCGGTCAAGGACAATGAAGGCACACCAATCACTGAGATTCAAGAACAGAGGAACAGGTGGGTAGAATACTTCGAGGAACTATTAAACAGACCAGGTTCACTAAACCCACCAGACATCGAGGCAGCGCACACAGACATTATTATAGCTGTCACTCCACCAATGATCGAAGAAATCAGCACGGCATTCAGACAAATTAAGAGTGGGAAAGCAGCAGGACCTGAAGCATTGAAGTCAGACAAAGAAGTAACTGCAAACATGCGCAATGTTCTATTCACGAAGATTTAGGGGAAAAACAAGTCCCACTGATAGACTTAGAAGAAGAATACTTTATCAAGACACCAAACAAAGGAAATCTGAGTAAGTGTGAGGACTACAGAGGCATCACACTACAATCGGTACAATAGAGTGTTGCTGAAGCAGATGAAGTATTCAGTAGACATCCAGATTCGTGATCAACATGCCAGATTCCATAATCATCGGTTGTGCACAGATCAAATCGCGACACAACGGATCATTGCTGAAAAGCAAAGTGAATGGGATTCGTCACTGTACATTAACTTCCTTGATCATGAGAAATCGTTTGATACTGTGGATAGGAGAACATTATCGAACCTTCTTTGACACTATTGTGTGAGTAGCTGAGATCGTCAACATCATACGGAATTCATATGACGGACTACACCGTAAATTCGCTCATGAAGGACAGCTAACAGATGGATTCCAATTTAGGACCGTAGTCAGACAGGGCTGCTGTCTCTCCCCTTTCCTCTTTCTTATGGTGATTGACTGGATTATGAAGACCTCCACATCTTAGGAAAGGCACGGAATACAATGAACAGCTTGCATGCAACTGAAAGTTTTGAACTTCGCAGATGATCTAGTCCTGGAATACAGCACAGAGAGGACCAATCCAATCACACATGATGGAGAAGCTCTGAAAGAAATGAAAACCTCCACATATCTGAGTAGCATCATTGATAAATAAGGAGGATCTGATGCAGACGTAGATCCACGGATCAGCAAAACAGTGGCAGCACTTTTACAACTGAAGAACATATAGAATTCAAAATAACCTTCATCCAACATCAAGGTCAGAATCTTCAGTACGAACGTCAAGACAGTTCCACTTTACGGAGCTGAAACTTGGAGAACTACTACAACCATCATCGAAAAGGTCCACAGCTGTATAATATACCCTTCTGGGCCAGGGTAATTTTACATTGGTTTTCAGGAGAACCAGATACCATCCGGACTTTCACGTGACAACCCAATTAACAGGATAGTCAGACACCGCCCAGGCTTAAATTTTATAAACCGGGCAGTACAGATTCACAGGAGAATCAGACACCGTATGGGCTTTAATGCTAAAATATGAATATTACAGCCCAATCCTATGGCGCAACCACACAGGCACGAAGCAACCTGGTGGACCAATCGAAGAGGTACAGGTATTTATTAACGATTGTTTGCAAATTATACTTCAAAGCTATTGGTTGGATACCATCAGCAACAACTTAACGTTGTAGAAAATAAAACAGCTACCGACTGAAAAGGATGTTAGGAAAATACATTGGAAGTAGATAGGATATATATTACGAAAATTGTCAAACTGCATTACGAGGCAAGCCATAACTTGGAATCCTGAAGTCGGAAGAAGAAGAAAATTAAAGAGCATTTTGCGTCAGGATTGGAAACAACATCAAAAGAATGTATAGCGATTGGAAAAATCTGGAAAGAGAGCCTAGGAAAGGGGTCGATCGAAAATCCTAGTTGGCAGCCTATGCTTCAACGAGGATCAATAGGTGTATGCAAGTAAATAAGAGGGGTTTTCAATACTATTATAAATCAAAGCTATGCACTGAGCGACTAAAACGTAGTTGTTTTACTGAATACATTTTTCTGGTCAGTAATTCTGAATTATGGTGTTAAGCATTGAAATGTCTTCCCCGAAAACTTTGAGTCATTTGAAAGGATGAAAAACTGAAGAATTCTTATTAAATTTTACCTTGCAGAACTTAAAATGTGCTGCTGCTTAAGACATCAGTCAATGGAAATCGTTGTTTAAGAACAGTCTGCATCACTGGATAAAATTACGTGGGAAAACACGGAAAAGCATATAATACTGGACAGTTATGATCTTCCGATTTAGGACTGCTTAGCTGTGGACACGCTTCGCCCCACGCTGTCCCAAGTCCAGAACTTTCAGGTCTCTTGCGTACGGTGAAACTGTTTGGTCAGTGATCGCGATGTGAGCCATCCATACAAGTCGGGTTTCTGATCTTAAATATATAAGTAACTGCAAGGATGGTCAAAAATATCTAAAAGGAGGCATTATACCACTGTCTTTACCAAGCGAACGTCCCAATAAAATGTTGCTGAACCAAGCGAAGAAGTCAGTGGACATTCACCTTCGAAGTTAACAAGCTAGATTTTGTATGAGTCGATCATATACCAACTAAATTACGACATGACAAATCATTATTGAATGCAATTCGTTGCTACACGTCTCCTTTCTTGATTATGCGAAAGCACTCAACAACGTGAATAGGGGAGATTGTAGAATATTCTCCGACACTATGGAACATGTGAAA